AACGAAACCCAACAGGGTGGAAAACCCTGAATGGTGCTGGTTTCATAACACTTACGGGGATGAAGCCAGAAAATGTCGTAAACCATGCCGTTTTAAGAAGGACACAAACTCGGGAAACGGTCACGCCGGCACGTGCTCACGGCAACCGTAGCCGGCGGAAAAAGCCGTTTGCTCTACGTCACCGACATTAAAACGAAAGTCCGCTACCTCGTCGACACCGGCGCAGAAGTTAGCGTTCTTCCAGCAACGACAAAGGAGCGTCATCTCGACCCATCCTTCAATCTTCAAGCAGCCAACGGCAAGGCAATCGCGACATTCGGGAGACGGTATGCCTACCTCAACTTAGGTTTACGCAAACCTATTCACTGGATTTTCCTCCTGGCAGACGTCTCTATGCCCATCATTGGCATAGATTTGCTGAACCATTACGATCTACTCGTAGATGCTCGCCGTCGACGACTGATAGATAACAACACAAAGTTATCTATTGGCGGCACCACCTATGTAGGTCCGAGTTTAGCCATCGTTAGGACTAAACAATCAGGCGACGCGTCCTACCAGGCAGTTCTGGAGAAATATCCAGAGTTACAACAACCGAAACACACTCTTCCGTGCATAACCAGCAATGTTATGCATCACGTCACAACCACAGGTCCACCTGTGGCATCCAAAGCTCGCCGTTTAGCCCCCGATAAGCTGAAACGGCGAAAAATGAATTCGACCATATGCTCGAACTGGGCATTATCAGACCGTCAAACAGTCCTTGGGCATCGCCATTGCACATGGTGCCCAAAAAGGATAGCAACGACTGGCGTCCGACCGGTGATTACCGAAGGCTTAACGCCAAAACAACTCCGGACTGCTACCCTATACCCCACGTTTACGACTTGACCGCAACCTTATGCGGCATGAACATTTTCTCGAAAATCGACTTGGTCAAAGCGTACAACCAGATACCTATGGCAGCAGAAGATATCGCGAAAACAGCCATTATTACTCCTTTTGGCCTGTTTGAATTCCTGCGCATGCCTTTTGGTCTTCGGAATGCAGCACAAACATTCCAACGCTTTATGGACGACGTCTTCCGTGGTCTGAATTTTGTTCATGTCTACATAGATGACTGTCTAATTGCGAGTCCAGATAAGGAAACACACCTTAAACATTTGGACCTCGCATTCGAAAGACTCAAAAAACATGGCATCACAGTTAACTTACAGAAGTGTGAAATAGGAGTTGAATCACTCAGCTTCCTTGGGCATACCATTGACAACAAAGGTATACGCCCATTGAGAGATAAAGTGGCGGCTATCACAAACTATCCAGAGCCGACCACTGTGAAACATCTCCGCACTTTCAATGGCCTGGTAAGTTATTACCGAAGGTTTATCCCTAACTGTGCCTCTGTCATGAGACCACTCACAGATCTACTTCGAGGAACTGCGAAGTTCGTGTCTCTGGACAACGCGGCTAGACTTGCTTTCTCCAAAGTCAAGGAAGCCATTTCGAACGCAACCATGCTTATGCATCATGACCCCAATGCTCCTCTGAGTATTGCTGTTGATGCATCTGATTCAGCAATTGGAGCAGTTTTGCAACAGTTGACTGACAACCAGTGGCAACCGTTAGCCTTTTTCTCGAGGCGGCTGCAAGACGCGGAAACAAGATACAGTACATTTGGTAGGGAACTCCTAGCCATGTACTGTTCTGTACGCCATTTTCGACATTCTGTGGAAGGTCGTGATTTCATTATTTTCACAGACCACAAACCGTTAACGTTTTCCCTCAGCTCGGCGTCTGACAAATACTCCCCTCGTGAGTCGCGACAGCTGGATTACATTTCCCAGTTCACGTCAGACATCCGCCACATTTCTGGAGCAAACAACTCCGCAGCCGACGCACTATCTCGAATAGCTTCGATAAACTATATCGAGGGTATTGATCTCGTTGAACTAGCTCGGCGTCAAAAGGAAGACCTTGAGCTGCATCATGAGTTGTCGTCCACAACTCTCAAACTGCGACTTTGTCCTGTTGGATCAGACAAGGATGCAATTTTGTGCGATGTCTCTGCTAGTCAACCACGCCCAATAGTTCCGAAGAGTTGTCGACGCAACGTCTTCAATACGTTGCACAAACTCTCTCATCCAGGTGTACGAGCCACCATTAGGCTTATCGCACAACGTTTCTGCTGGCCTGGGATGAACAAAGACGTTAAGGAGTGGGCCCAGTCGTGCTTAGCTTGTCAAAAGTGTAAAGTCACGCGACACACGAAAAGCCCTTTAGGCTCATTTCTAGCCCCAGACATGCGTTTCGACCACGTCCATATAGATATTGTAGGACCCCTACCAGAATCTAATGGATGTACCTACCTTTTCACTGTGTTGATCGTTTCACACGATGGCCGGAAGCAGTACCCATTAAAGATATTACTGCCGAAACAGTTGCTCGTGTTTTCGTCGAAAGATGGATCGCGAACTTCGGATGTCCATCTACGTCACAACCGACCGTGGGCGCCAATTTGAGTGCGGACTATTTCACGCTCTAACGGCACTTTTAGGTTGCACTCGGTTCCGAACGACAGCCTACCATCCACAAGCAAATGGCATGGTAGAGCGTTTCCATCGACAGCTGAAAGCTTCCCTTTCAGCTACAAACATACCTCAGTGGACCGAGGCTCTGCCTCTAGTCCTACTAGGTATTCGTAACGCGTTGAAAGTTGATGCTGGATGCACTCCTGCAGAACTCGTCTATGGGACCACTCTTCGCCTACCAGGTGAGTTTGTTTCCCCTTCAACTTTCAAACATGTTTCCGACAGGGCATCTTACGTGACTAGGCTTACAAACGCAATGCGTTCAGTTAGGCCTTCTCCGATTAGACCGCAAACGACTGATGTTTTCGTCCACCCCAGTTTACAGAAGACATCACACGTGTTTGTTCGCCACGACGCTGTTCGTCGACCACTTGAACCACCCTACGACGGGCCGTTCAAAGTGATTAAGCGACATGAGAAATTCTATGTAATTGAGCGAGACGGACGTGAAGATACTGTCAGTATCGACCGTTTGAAACCAGCTTATTTCGAAGGCAACCCCATTGTAAGTGACGTTTCAGCTCGCTACATCCGACCGACGGATGACTCAATTATCGAAATTCTCGACGATGTGCCTGGTAATGCACAGCTGCAACAACCAGCGGCGCAACAAAAAACACGATCAGGTCGAACCGTCAGGTTCCCAGAGTACCTGAAGTCATATTCAACTTAGCTGTGTGTGTGCCAACCATTTTTTTCTTTTTTTTCGAGGCACTATTTTTCTTATTTACCGGCAATGCACAAACCCTCGTACACTTTGCCTTTTTATATCAATTTTTATTACCATGTAATAAAAACTAAAAAAACGGCGAAGATAAGCGTAAATTTTTATTTTTCGACACGTTTATATATAAATAATTCCCATTTTTACGCAACGTTTTCGTGGTATTAAAGACTTTTATTTATATTCCAGGTGCAACGAGCACTGGACGGAACGTCGAAAGGAACAGATGACCGCGACCGACGTACAATTTCATTTATTGTATTTTATTTATTTAATCGCCACGACACCCTAGAATAAGGTTCAGACAACCAGGGGCCACCTCACGCAGTGAGCCCATCGGAAGAGTTTTACCAGTGGAGAAACCACTGGGTTTTTACTTCCGGCTGGTATCGTCTTAGGGTCCTCACGAACCCACTAGGGGGGGAGTGATCTGTAGCGTCATACACTTCCCCAAAATCAATAGCCTAGGGTTTGACGACTTCGACATTGATGCTGACCTTGATAGTTTAACTGGACTCGCTAAGCTGAAGGCACCCGGTCAAGCATCCTCGCCATTTGGCACGCTGTCGTGTTACGTTGCATTGCTCGTATTCGACTCTCTAGCCAGTTAGTTGGAACGCATCGGTATTTTGGCATAACCATCCAAATATACTATTCCATCCGACTACGCTATCGTGTTCTTCCTTGGTCTCGTATTCGTGGGTATATAACAAGTTCGAATAATTAGTGATTGGTCTTTGCGTCTGTCAAGTTCGCACCAGGACAAATCCTAAACCGACTCAGTTAGAGACAACACAAGCATACTGTATGGGACCATAGGCTCGAAGTGCGCTAATTTGGTAACCGTCTCAGGGCGGTGAAAGTCAGCGAAGACCAGTTATCAAGGAAATACAGATATTCCAGTGAACGAGAAAGACATTCTTCTAACTATTATTGGAGTACCACTATGACCACATAAGCTATTTGAAAACAACTCGGTTACCAAAGTTTCTGTGGGCTCCACTGCCTTAAAACCTACTCACTATCGGTAATACTACAACCCACTTAAGCCGCCGACTCAAGTCGCAAAATAAATTTTACCAGGTCGAAAAAAAAGAATATCTACTGCCAAAATTTTGAGGTTTCGGGGTGAGTTTTGTTCGATAATGCCATGCGTCGTGCTTTTGTCTAACTGGAAACTCCGAGTGTTAACCATCAGGGATTGTTTCATCTGCGAAGAAAAGGTAAGGAGCTGGAACTCCTCCCTTATGATTGACATTTTGTCATAGACTTCTGGCCCTAGACCGTAAATCTGAGTCCACATTTGAATCTGACAGATGTCAGCAATGTAAAACAAAGAACTAATACCAGACCGAGGGAAAACAACTTTTCCCCCGGTGTTTGTGTCTAATGCTGTCCTGTGCCACAGGTATTAGCCGAATTCTTCTAGTCAGAATCAGCAGAAAAGAAATTTGGGCAGATTTGACAGATCATGTGATCTACGGAGAACTTACTGAATGTACTCTTGACCTATATTATTACCTAATAAACCTTGTTAACCCTCTCACTTATGTCTTCCTTTTGCTTATTGCCTAGTGTTTGTTGGATGCCTAATTTATTTACTAACTCCTAACGTATAACTGTAATGAGCATTACTACTTCTACCCTTCAAAAATATTCAATAGGTGTTTCTGTTTGTTTACACTTTTATAAGCAACATCTTTAAAAGTGAGAACGTGTAATCGTCTTTAGTAAGTGGATTTGAACCTATGAAGTATGCTCAGTTTACAGCAATACATCTTGACGTAAAGATGAATTTCTAAACTATTTAAGTGAAAAGTTTCGATTTTTTTCAAAATATAAGAGTTCAATCATAATACTAGGTTAAACTTTATTTTCAACATACCTGAATGAATTCATTCACATTTTTGTAGTATTTCATGCCAGTTGAATTATAAACGCTCTTTTGTGTGGGTGAGATTATGCAGGCAGATTATATCTGTTGATTAACTATGTTTTTCTTGCTGCGAAATCTAGTAAATATCCCAGCCACACCATATTGTTGAAATAATGCAGGCAAATGCGTTAATAATGGTGCAAATGGCGTTGATATTGTGATAGATGGGTAAGAGGTAGGAACTATTTCCCGAAAATTTCCCTGAGATGCTGAAATAATGCGGGCGCTGATGAAATAATGCGGATGGTGCGGAAATAAGTCTGGAATTGTGCTCAATTAAAGCTGCATTTACACATGCACGCCTAAATTATTCTGCAAGTGCGTAAAGTATGCTGGTGGTCCGTAAAATCCACTTAATTGTCGCATTTCGACATTCGTGTTTGACTGGGATATCAGCCGGAAACACACTCGACACCCTAGAGAGTAAACATTTTCGCGAAATGTACAGGATTGCCTCTCAGGGACTAAAGATTTCATCTAGAAGTCTTTTAGGTCAGTTCCAAAACTTTCGCTTCAAAATCTGAGGCGAATCCAATAATTCTTAACTGTACTTAAAGTTAACAAAAATTCAGAATAACCCATTGAGTTGTACTTATAGTGTCAAGTTGAGCTTGGAGATTATTTCAGCTGGAAAATAATTTTCAGGATCTAAGTAGCAAAAACCTATGTGCTGTAGATGTTGCCTGAAGCATCGCATACTGAGAAAAATTGCATCGAATTAAAACGTGTTTTAATAACAATTTGAAAATAAAGCTATAGCCATCTGAGTCTTCTAATTATCTAGGCTTGAAAAAGTCACCTGATAAGAGGAAATGGTTCGAAGTTTTTTTGTCTTCAGAGTTGACGAAAAATAATGTAGAGAGATAACAGTAGTAGACTAAACTGTGTTATTCCCGGTAGTCCGCACCCCTATGGAGATTCAAATTTGCTTTGAATGTATTCACTAAATCTGCCGCCGCATGTTCAGATGACAGGTTTCGGCCGTTGATAACTCTGTGGAAGACTAATGCTCAACGTCAAAATGATAGGACGGTGGTTTTTGCATTTCATTACGATAGCCTTTAAGACGGTCATTGCTACAGGAAGAAATGATTAGAACAATAGCTACCTAGAGTATAATTAAAAGTATGGAGACCCAGTGTTAGACTGTTTCATCTCCCACACTAAAAAGAGATTTAATCTCTCAAACCGCTCCTCATTAATTTTGCAGCTACCGCTTGACTTGTTTCAGTATATCGATTTCTTCAAGCATACACCAGGTGGCTAAGTATATTATCTTTCACGGCCGAAACATTTTGTAGCTTAAGTTCGTTGGGATGTCTTTCGTTCTATAATCTAGGTCTAATTTTGAAGCTTTCATTGTATTTCTCGACAATAACATCAGCACCAACTCTTACTCGGTCCTACTTGGCACAGAATGCAATGCATATCTCTACTAAAAAACTTGAATGCTGCACGAAGCGAACATATTATGCCAAACGATTGGGATGCAAACTCATTACAGTTCTCAGTTATTTAATTAGTCGTAGCCAACATTTGCCTTAGAAAACCTAGTTACCTGTGCTCCGTAAAACATCTTATGGAATAAATAGACCAAAGTGATTGTGAGGTTTGATGATTATGGCAGTTCATGAATCAACATTATTAACGAAGACTACTAAGCGCTTATTAAATTTCCCTGCATGGATCAGAATTCGCTTTGTAACAAACTTGGTGCTGCTCATTCCATTTGTTTTTATATCGCTACTCTTACTTTTCGTTATTGTTTTCAAATTTATCACTGTTACTGACTAAAATCCTAATCTATGTGCGCAATTCTGGATCACTCAACAGTTACTTTCAGAAATATTTCCTCCAGTACGACGTCTTAAACAACTATTCTGGAACCGCATGCACAACTTAAAACTGCCCACATTCAAACGTTCGGATTGCGGTGCAACTCTTACAACAGACAGATTTGGCTAGAATTCCGGAAAGCTTCGATACAGGTTATGCGTTCTACTTTGTAAACAGGTATACAAAATCTCGGTAAGGTGCTTTTAATAACTGCTTCATGTGTCAGCTTAAAAAGCGTATTCGCGGTATCCCTATCCGGAAAACTGTGGCATCAGCAGCCGACCTTGCTGATACTATTGTCCCACCTAATACTAAAACCTCGGCTTTGACAGTCGACTGGATCCCGCTCAACAGTCTTGTGTATAATGCTAAGCTCGAATGTTCAATTGGACTTACACGGAAATGGCAAGGGAATTGATATTTTTTCGTTGTTTCTACCTGTGAGCCTACTGACTGCAACCCAGATGCAGTTAAAGATGAGTTCTGCCTTCAACCGAGTGATCTCATCTCTCTGGTGATATCGTCGGTCTGGCTCTGGACTTGGATGGATAGATAGAGAGTCTAGGATAGGATGAGGGGCGTTTATATGATCAGTTAGGGTTACTCAATCGCAGTTCAGATAATGGGGAACACCTTTTGAAACTTAACACAGATCACAGCCTGATTCTCACCAGCACCGAACTCCGATACGGTCATCTTTGTTGTACCATCTGATGTGTTTCGCCTGCCACTTAAGCCTGAACTCAAACAGGCTACTCCATCTGGAGCATCCGTCTGAACTATGACCACGCTTTAGTGTGTTAAGTTTATCTTGATTGTGATGGTCTTCAAAACTGTCATGTGAAAGACATCGATGTTATTAAACCAGTTGCACCTAGCAGCCCGACTAAGAAGCGAAGCAAGCCAAATTCAGGGATAGGTGTCCATCCTCTAGAAGGCACAAGTTAATATCGTTGACATTTAAGAGACGCAATGAAAACGGCCAATAAAACAGGGTTAAGATTTGAAGAGCATCTTGCTGATAAACGTTGGGTTCCTGTAAAGTCATTCAAACTACTTGATGCCCTTCTGTACATGCATACAGACAGTCAGTACAGTTGTATACGTAATTCCTTTGTGCGACAGACCAGACAGAATTCCTGTAAGAATTGTGAGGCCTAGCGACCAGAACACATGAACAAGATAGACGCAGTGGTCTAAGCACGCAATAGTTGAAATCTGCTCCAGTTCATACGAGCCATCAGCAGCAAAAAGCTTAGTGTAAAACGTTCAGTAAAGTAGATGGTATGTCGATCACTAACTTTCATGGACCCCTGGAAAGCTGAGTGCAGCAATTCGGAAAGCATTTCAAATGGCATACTGTTCCAACAACCACAACATATTGTGCTATATGGTCAGTTTACACCGATCCACCTAATGAAATGGCTGTAAGGTACCCACCCCAGAAAACCTGCCAGACTCTTTTCAATAATATATGTAAAATTGTAGTCAAGCTTGTGACTATATTGTTTGTGAAGGCATGTCCGACTGAGTATGTTCCGCGGCTCTGGAATGAAACCAGTGTTGCAGCCATCTATACGAAATGATCCACATATTGTACTTAATAATCACTAGGATTGTCTTCCACCGGTAGTATCTGAAGTGGTATCTCCTATCATAATCCACACCTGTGCAAAACGCTTGAGAATCCGATCCACAAGTAACTGGCCGGGTTTTGTTCAGGTCATGGATGAATTATGTTTATTCTCCACCGTATACCTTAACACCGTTGCACGTATTACACTTTCCTGAATGAGGGTGATAGTGCAGACTTCGTATCACGTGAAAGAGCTTGTGATCTCAAGTATGCGGACGATACTGTTTAGCTGTGCCAAAACACACAAGCAACTCAAACCAAACTTAATCACTTGGTGTAAAGTGCTTCTACAACATTGGCAGAAGCCTTTGTTTGCATTCACCCATGATAGTGGATCACTGTAAGTTACCGAAAAGTTCTTGTGCCTGGTTAGTTATGTGAGTGCTGGTGAAGGTGTGATTGGTGAGATTTCCAACCGCATATCGAAAGCTATAGTAGTAAACGCCAACCTATCATCTTTAGCGCCATCATGATGTTAACCTTACCAGAAAAGGTCGGGCATGTAATTTGCCGATGATAGCAGTTTTTCTCTACGCATGTAAAACCTAGCGTCTCCGATCTGGTGCTGGTCAACGACTTTGCATTTCTGATCACTGTCGCCTCCACAAGACTGATTGTATCTAGTAGAAGCAACGTAGAATTAGTTTTGAGGAGAGGTAGGGTGTGTCTTGGCATTATTCAGTGAGTTTGGTGATCTCAAAACACCGGCTTCAGTGACTTGGAAATGTGCTACGAATATTCTCCAGTGATCTTCATACCGTTTACTGTAAACCTGCCATAGGAACAGTTGGGAGAAATGAAGAAGTAGGTAGTGAATAATGTGGCGCCACGAGGTAGATGACAGTTATGTCAGATTAAGATCTGTAAATGCCTCATTAGTCCCTGAATGGGGTCCCAGAGATTGTGTAACTTGATGGCCTGAGTAGATAGCAGACACCATTTAAAATTAAAAATAATGGTGACCTGTTGCACTTCCCTCGTTCCTTCTATTAGTAATGATTAAAGCGAAGGTACTTTTGAAACTCATCTTCAATAGCTCAGTTCTATTTTCGTTTCCATTCTCTGTTCTGCTTTCTACGTCTTCATAATGTTGTTTTATTATTTTGTATGGTACATCTCCTGGCATTAGTAGTGTACAAAGTTTGTGTTATTTTAATAACATGACAGATGATTGAAGAATCATCCAAAACGCTTTCCAATACTAACCTATTCTTTGCAATCATGGTTTGGGAATGTGAAGAGAGTCATATGGTAATGATTCAGAATGCTATTATAGTGGAAATGTGTCAAACTCTGTATTTCGCTCTTTTACTGCTTTAGGACTCATTTGATACCGTTTTGAATGATAACAGTAGTGACTTACCATTTACGAAAATTGTATTACCTCTATTATCTTTAAGATTTACCGGTCCGAGAGGAAACATTTGAAAATATTCAAAAATGCCTTCAACCTATTCACAAACCACAACAACTAAACTGGGATGTAAACATAAAACTCATCGTATATTAGTGAAGTGTGGTCGCCCCTTGAATCAGTCAAGAAGTAAGTTTTCGTCGCTCTCATAATCAGTTTTACTGACCCTGTGTGATTAATTTAGAAAAAAAAGAAGATTAGAGGGCCATTTCATTTCTGACATTAAATATAGTTTGTATTTGTGCAAGTCATAGACGGTTTGAAATGAAGTAATTCCAGTGTTTGGTAGAACCTTGGACCAGACTTATGTGCAAATGTTTGAATAAGTTCATTTCAAACACACTGTGGCTTACACACATAAACAATATCTAACATCAGCCTTTCACTCAGTGTTCAATGTTTGCGATGGTATTCGGTCAAATCTTGACCGTAGTTCGTGCAAACATTTCATTTCCGTTAGCTGATCATGAACTAAACGCAATCTTGACGTCATTATGGGATAGGAAGAAAGGTAATTTGAAATGTCAACGAGGCTAAAACCTTTTAAGCATAACTTCCAGTTCCTAATATTAAATGACCCATTACGTCTCCAATAGATATTTCAAGAGCAGTCACTCAAAAACAAATAGTTACTTAAGGATTAACTTGTGTGAACGACCGAATAGAGCACGCATACCAGAGAGATATGAGGCGTATCAGTAAACATCTTCATCAACCCATTGTTTACAGCATTATTAGCAACAGTTTCACCATCAGCTTCAAGAACCATAGATTTCTTAGAGCACAGAAAAAACATTCGTCTAAAAGTGAGTTCGACTTCAAAATACAGAAATACGCTTATAAGCTTCCGTTAACGTAATTAAGCTCTGAAACGACTCCATTTTGTATTTTACAGAGTGTTGTGGATATTAAAGATGTTTTAAATTAACCAAGCTTTTGAAGTTCTTCTTTTATACTCATGTCTGATGCTTTTGTAATGCTAAGAAATGTGTAAATTTTCTCAGTTTTGTTAAACTGTTGCTTTTATGATTCTTGCGAGAGCTGTACTTCTACAGAAAATGTTTCATGCATCAGGGTCATACTCGTGCAACTGACGTATCGCCCTTAGTAATAACCTTGTTTGCTATCCGGGCTTCAATAACCGGTTCTTTAATTACTCATGATGAAACCTTTTATTAACTAGTAATTGTTTTGTGATTTTTATACTTCTCAGCAGTTTTTAAACTCCAGTATACTACTACTTCAACTACGCATTACAATTAATACTTCACATTTTTTCAATTTATAGAGGAGTTGTAAAATATTACGAATGACTAAAACCTTATTGATATGATTAACGAGCAGTGTGTTTTGCTGTTGTTTTGCGAGATTCGATCTGAAACTTGCAAGTCTAGGCATATCTTTACTTTTGCATATCATTTTCTGCGGGTGTACTGGTAGCATTTTGTAGTCAGCTGAAACTTCTGTCCAAGAACGTAAAATTTATAAAGTAGAATCCTAGTGTAACTGAAATTTAATGAATATCACGAATCAAATCTTATGACCTTAAAATCCTTTGTAAATGATCAGGAACATGATAAGAAGCTCTTAACATGAGAATTCTTATTACTGTAGGGACAACACTTGGTTATCCTCTCTCTAATTTATTTTTCAACTTATTTCGCACTCATCGTTAGGTTAATAGCATCAGGATAGGTGTGAAAAAGATTGCGTTTGACACAATTAAAATCAACTATATCTTCTTTTCTTTTACTTCAGTTCACTGTTCAGTTAATACAGAGAAACACCGGAACCAAATCAGTCTTCACTCAAAGAAGGAAGCAAGAATCTCCTTGCCACTAAAAATTACAGGATATAAAAGCTCGGTTCTTATACACAGGTAATTTGTCGACATGAATATACTTACTCTAGTACAAACTATGATGTGTATGGTCTACATCAGTGATCCTTACTTGAACATTATTTATTACTTTGAACTAAATCGATTTAGATACGTATAGTTTACAGTCTGGCAGAGTGTTGGAGCTCTAACTAGTCTGTATTATTAGAACACTAGACTACGTTTTACCGGTACAGTGTCCTTATAAGTCAGATCAATCATGTTCTTTAGAAAAAATCCCTATTGCAGTTGTTCTACTTTAGGCTTCAAATACCGGCTATCACCCATTAATAGTCCTGAACTTAAACTTTATTATTTGAGGAAGCTAGTTTACCTTATATGTGATTCTAACATCGTAGAAGTAATTCTACCCCTAGTAGAAATGAGTTATTTGCTGCCAAAGCACATATTTTTTATGATAAAAGTCATACCTGACAGAAATTTGTGCAGCCTTTTCAGTGTTTGCCACTTAGTGTTCACAGTAAGCATATGCTACCTGAAAGCTTTACGCTTCATCAATATTGAAATCAGGGTTAACAGTCTCATGATTACTAGATGGGTTTTAACATAATCTCAGTGTGTTTAGAAAATCAAAACAAGATTGGTTTTAATTTAACCCGCTCGCTGCTACTTTGACGTGGTTATCAGGCTTGCATGTCTCAGTGACACGAAAGGCTACACTAGCTGAAGCTCTTGTTGCTTGAGGTCCAACTATGCAAGAAACGTTCGTTGGGTAATGGAAATCACAGTCGTAGTGTAAATTGCCATGCTATGATGGGGTACGGGGTGTGAGAACAGCAAGATATGTCTCCTGGATGACCAGCAGCGCCATGTTGGTACTGTCTTACTTATGGGAATGGAGAAGTTTAAAAAGGGTCGTCCTAAAAAATAGCCCACTTCTTCCACGCAGTACTCCAGTTCAGGTGGTATGAGTTTCTCTTATCCGGTATAAGAACAATTAAATCTCGGACTAACAGTCCTAAAAGGCTGTGTGACAGGCCTCTACAGTCATACAGAATCAGTCCTTTCTTCCCTTCAAGTACCTTACAGAAACAACTTCCACGGTTTAGGAAGCAGGGAATTTCCATGCTTCCATACTCCGGTAGATACAAAATCCAGTCAAACATAATCATTCCGCCTTTGCCTTTGTCTTCTTGATACAAGTATTAAGTCTCTTATAACTTTCTCAACCTCTTATCTTGCGAACATTGCAGCTATCTAATCGAGTGAAGCACAATTCCCATTTACCTAAAACGACGCTGTTGACTTCACATTGTAGATTTAAACATCTGAAACCTATGTGAAACAGAACAATACGCGAAACATTAGATACTGAAGTTAGGGATCCATGTTGTATTTCCGAGACAAGTATATAGAGATCGAGTTTGGTCATTCACCTGGCCGAATTCATTCCACCAATGTCCAGAGATTTAGTGACTAGATCTCATGAGCTCACTGGTGTAGGTATAGCTTTAATTCCTCCAGCAGAACGCGCACTTCTTGATTGCATACCAGTCAATAGCCGTCTATGTGTTGTCCAACCGAATGGATATGTAAGAACTAGGAAGGATCGTGGGACTAGCCGATGCCTACTCACCATCTCCACCTAATCACCCACCGACTGCAGTTCGGACGGTGCAAAGAACGAATTCTATCAAGAACTGTCAGTTCTGCTACATAAAGCAGGACTTTCAGATGTAGTCATAATAACAGGTGACATTAATGCTCAAGTGGGAAAGTTGAGTTAGTCGAAAGACGTTTTGGAAGTATCTACGGTATCCCATGTCAACAAACTAACAATGGCGATCGGTTGTTGTAACTTTGTTCTGAAAATCACTTGTTTCCGGTCAACACCAACTTCAAGCATAAAGGGAGACAGTGTGTTATATGGTGTCTGCTGACTTCAATTAGACAGGTCACATAACTATAAACCACCGTTGTAGCGGACCGGTGAAGGAACACCGCCCTTTCTGGAATCTCGATTTGGACACCAACCACGAGTGAGTTCGGAAACGTGTATGTCTGCTCCTCAATGGTTGTAGAAAACAGATGGCAGTGAAGTATGATTGCTTGACTGAAAGATGATGACGTGAAGTACGTATTTGCGGATGAGATAGACAAGGACTTATATGAACATGATAGCAATGTTTATTGTGAAGAAACTTGGAGAGATATTCAGTGTGCTGTAGAAATAGAGTCAAAGACAGTTGACAACTTGCATCCAAAGGTTAACAAACATCATTGGATTTCCGCAACGTCTTTCGAACTGACTGGTGCGAGAAAACTCATTCCAGCTAGCTCTGACCTCAACGACGAACAGAAGCTGCCAAAACGTAGATAAGCTAAGAGTCTTTGCAATGATCGTGAGTAGTAGTGGGTGACAAAAGTCAGAGAGATGGTTTCAAAGTGAGGGGATTCCCGACAGTAATTTGGGCTTATTAAGGATACTGGTAAGAAGATGATGGCTAGTGAAACCATAACAGGAAAGAATGTGAAACTGATAATTTCTCACGACAGGTGGCTAGAACTTCGAGCAGAACACTTTACACCACAGATCAACTGGTATCCATCCTGAACATAAATGGGATACAGATTTCAGTCCCCCAACTCTTCTTGAAGTTTGAAGCCGAGACGATGCAAAACAGCAGGACCTGACAATTCGCTACCTGAAGTTTAACAGGATGGAGGTAAGAAATTGCTGCTTAAAGTGGTGGAGGTACTAGGCAGTGTATGAGAATCAGAGGTGATGCCATTAGACAGGTGTACTTCACTGATCATCCAGTGTATAAGAAGGAAGATACATTTCCTTGTGAAAACCATAGGGGGATAATTACGACTAATACTTCCGAGATCTTCGGTTCTATGGTTATCAAACACCTAATTGGAGCTTGCGAACAACAAACTTTCGGAAACCAGGCAGGTTGGAAACCTGAAAGCGAGGGTATAGTGGCCAGAAACCTACTATTTGTCAGGTTCTAGAACCCAGGCATAATTACTGGCGGCCAACACTTGCCATATTTTTTGACCTAAATGCGGCATTTGATACTGTCTACTGTGAGTTGTAGCAGTGTCTGACTGTAAAATACGCACTGAGCAGGTATATAGTGCTAATTAAAGCTCTCTACTCAGATGTACGTAGTCATGTAAGGGGCTACAGGGTTGCCGTTCAAAATGAGAACGCGCAATACAAGCAGCAATTGGATTGAAGACGGTAGGAACCAACGGCTGAAGACGCTTAATGACAGCTGAAAAGTGGTCCCAATGACGTATGTGTACCCACTTTTTAACGTCTTCTTGAGCTTGAAGATTTTCACTTACTTTCATTTCCAATTTTTTTCCTCCTATATACCTTTGACTGTTTTGATATCAGTCTTTTTCTACCCACTTGTTTTTTGTATGCTGCAACTTGAACCGATGCACTTCTGTGCGAGGTTCCACTTTGAAACTCTGTCTATGTGACTGACTAGCGTGTTACTGGATATCATGGAGTTCAGAAAAATCTTGCTTAATTTCTAAACACGCTGGGATTATATTAAAACTTATCCATATTATGAAACAAAATTATTACTAAAATTATCTGGATAATTTCTATAACAAGAGTTTTGCTTGTATATTATGAGCACTCAATAATTTAAGGCAGACTAATGTTAAGTAAACCTATAAGTCATTTCATGAGAACGTATATTAATACTAAAAGCACCTTTTTAACTTCATAATATCTTCCTTTCCTTTTCACTTGGATGTTATTAGGAACACTTAAGCCTATATAACCAGTCTAATCTATTGACTGAATTTCCCGACCAAATACATTATTCGGATTGGCCTATGGGAACTTCCTTCATCAGGTCATATTGATAATTAGCCACAGATTAAGTTCTTTTCGATTTACATATAGCTAGGAAGAAGAATGGTACTTTTAAAAACCGATTCAGGTATAGATACAAACAAAGTAACTCATATAACAGAAATTTCAGTCTAAAGTAATATCTTTGGGCTTTTCTATATTTAAGGACGGTCCCAGGACTTTCAACCGGTGAACCATCTGAAAATAGTTATCTTCGAACTTCAAAGTGTGAAAGATTATCGAACCAACAAGAAGCGAAAATTACAAACACTGCAGATAAATGTTGTGCAAAAGATGATTCACATAATTTCGACGGGATACCAGAATGGCTGGAAAAGTCTGTGAAACCCATTCAAAACTATTTTCTCGAGGAATGTCCGAAACTAATGGCGAGTTTTCCACGTCATGTTAGTGGAAGTGATGATTATATTTCAATGAAAACATATGAAGCTGTTAATAAAGCGCTTAAAGATGCTAAAGCTAACCTACCCAATAATCTCGAAGAAATTTTCTCAAAACTGGGTTTAGGTTCATGGATAAAAGAATACAAAGATGCTCTTGATAAGGATGAAATCTTACCAACACACAAAGACGTTAATAGTCAGCATCTACGCCAAAAACTTCAAAATTTAACTGATCTGGACGAAAACGAAAGTTCTTCGCAAGAAAGACTCAAAAAAAGATGTGAAAAGGATCATTCCCAAGTACGTTAAACAAGATCTCAATTATCCAATTATATTGTAAGCACACAGTCAAACTTGCTAACTGGATAAGATGTGCGATCGAAATAGCAGGCTACTCAGACAAATATATCACGATTAACTGTCTAAATTCACACCATTTTCCTACTGAATGATCTGGCATAAACTGAGGTATATAGATAAGCAACGATTTCTTCTGTTCCTTCCAAAATTCCCAAAGTAAGTAAAAACGACAACCTCGCCTGGTTAACTAGTTTACTAGTTACTAGCCGGTTCTAAGCCCGGGTAAAGAGGGAAGGTTGGGCATAGGGCTAGCAACCCTACCCCGTAAAACAAATCTAACCGCTAAAGAAACTTCAAAGCACAAACAAAATATAAAAAATGAAAACAAACTTATTCCCCGCTGGAATCGGAGAGGCGAAATGACGCCAGTTGGTGAAAGCCTTCGGGAAGCCAATTGGCCGATGTGTCTTCTCTCGATGAAAGCGGAAGTAAACGTGGGGACATGGAATGTCCGCACGATGTTTGAACCCAGTAAGGCAGCCCAGATTGCAAAGGAGATGAGAAGGTATAACATCGAAGTGCTTGGGATTTGCGAAAGCAGATGGAATGGGAGTGGAGTCTCCAAACTGTCAACTGGAGAATCAATAATCTACTCCGGTCACCCAGACGACAACCACGAGCACACTGAGGGAGTGGCTATCATGATGTCCTCAAGAGCATCGAAGGCTCTCATGCAGTGGGAACCAATCTCCTCCAGGATCATGACAGCAAGATTCAACTCAAAAGGAAGAAAGGTCACAATCATACAATGTTATGCACCTACAAATAATGCAGAACAAGAGAAAAAGGAGGATTTCTACAGACAACTTCAATCAACACTGGACAAGACATCAATTGGCGATATCAAAATTCTAATGGGTGACATGAATGCCAAACTGGGAGGTGACAACACAGGAAGAGAACTAACCATGGGTCGAGAGGCGCTAGGTGAAATGAATGAGAATGGAGAACTGTTTGCAGAATTCTGTGCATTCAACGATTTGGTGATTGGAGGCAGTGTGTTCAGGCACAAAGATATCCACAAAGCGACATGGACTTCACCAGATGGACACACTAAAAATCAAATCGACTTTATCTCAATCTCAAGAAAATGGAGACACAGTCTACTTAACACAAGGTCAAGAAGAGGAGCAGATGTAGGTTCAGACCACTATCTAGTGCAAGGAACCTTCCAAATCAAGTTAAAAGCCTTCAAGGAAGCTGGTGATAGACCTCAATTCAAGTACAACACTCGGAAACTGAAGGATGAAACTACAAAGGAGATCTTCACGGCAGCCATCAAGACAAAATGGGAGACATCGAGCAACATCCCTGAAGAAACCTGTGTGGAAGAACACTGGAAGTCTTTGAAAGCTATGTGGAAAGAAACCTGCACAACAGTATTAGGAAGGAAGAAGAAAGAAGACAAGGAATGGATCTCGACGGATACCTGGAAGCTGATAGAGGAGAGGAGGATGGTGAAGCAGAAGATAAACCAGTGCAAGGATGCTCAACGACAAGAGGAACTGAGCACAATGTATAAAACACTGGACAAAGAAGTGAAGAAGAGTGCACGCAAAGACAAAAGACACTTCTACGAAACACTGGCAAGTGAAGCAGAACAGGCTGCAGGTAAGAGAGACCTGACGACATTGTATCAAATAACCAGGTTGCTATCAGGGAAGAGACCAACACAGATGAAACCAATAAAAGATGAAGAAGGAAATTTAATTACAAAAGAAGAGAAACAGAGGAAACGATGGGCCGACCACTTCAAGAAGCTCTTGAATCGACCACCACCTGCACTTCGTCCAGAAATACCACCTGCAGCCGCTGAATTACAAGTGAACATTAATCCCCCAACGAAAATGGAAGTCCTGAACGCCATAAAGCTACTGAAATGCGGGAAAGCAGCAGGACCAGATGGAATACCGCCAGAAGCACTGAGAACAGATGCAGAGACAACAGCGGACATGCTCACACCACTATTGCAGAAGGTGTGGAAGGAAGAGAAGGTACCTGACGATTGGAAGAAGGGTTACCTTGTCAAACTGCCGAAGAAGGGAGACCTCAGTGCTTGCAAGAACTGGCGCGGAATCACTCTCCTGTCCACCCCAAGTAAAATATTAAGCCGCATCATCCTAGAGAGGCTTAAAGATGCACTGGATTCAAAACTACGACCGGAACAGGCTGGCCTCAGGAAGTACAAATCATATGCAGATCAAGTTGCAACGCTTCGCATCATCATAGAACAGAGCATAGAATGGCAATCAGCTCTCTACCTCAACTTCGTCGACTTTGAGAAGGCCTTTGACAGCGTTGACCGAGAAGTAATTTGGAAACTGCTTCAATACTAAGGAATACCACAAACCTTTATCCGCCTTATTCAACAACTATATGAAGATGCCACATGCCAAGTAATCCACAATGGGAAGCTCAGTGATGCCTTTGAAGTGAAGACAGGAGTGAAACAAGGTTGCCTACTATCACCCATGATATTCCTTATTGTGGTGGACTGGATCATGCAGCAAACAGTAGGCAGCGAGAAGAGGGGGATACACTGGACGACGGAAAAGAACCTAGAAGACTTGGATTTCGCCGATGACTTATGCCTAATGTCACACAAACTTGAAGATCTGCAGGCAAAAACTAACAAGTTGGTAGAAGAGGCAGCTAAGACGGGACTTCAGGTGAATATAGAGAAGACAGAAGTGATGAAGATACCGCACCACCACCAACCCAACAACAACAACAACAAACTCCAATCACCGTCAACGGGAGAAACTTGAAGGAAGTAACCTCCTTCACTTATCTAGGAAGCACTGTTTCAACTACAGGCGGGACGGACGAGGACGTCAAAGTCAGAATCGGAAAAGCAAGACAGGCGTTCATTAGCCTGAAACCAATGTGGAGATCTTCTGCACTCAGCATGTGGAACAAGATACGGATTTTCAACACCAACGTCAAATCAGTGCTCCTGTATGGTTCAGAGACTTGGCGCGTCACGAAAGGCATTTCCAATAAAGTACAGACATTCATCAACAACTGCTCACGCTCGCTACTGAAGATCAGATGGCCAGAAAGAATAAGCAACAAGGAACTCTGGTGACGAACCAACCAAGAACCTATCACCCAACAAATATGCAGGAGGAAGTGGAGATGGATTGGCCATGCACTGAGAAGGCCGACTGAGGACATCACGCGTCAGGCCCTCGAGTGGAATCCCCATGGGAAGCGACGAGTTGGACGTCCGAGGGTGACATGGAGGAGGTCGTGCGAGGAGGAAATGAGAGGTTGTGGGCTGTCGTGGGACCAGGTTCAAAAGATCTCAGAGGACAGAGGTCACTGGAGGCGTGCTACTGAAGCCCTATGTTCCACTAGGAACCCAAGGGACTAATAATAAAATAATAAGTAAAAACGACAGAATCGCCCTTTTGTCATTCCCTGTCGTATTTGTTATAAAAGCCAAGAACAAACGATGAATAAAGCAGTTGAATAAAAAGTAACTGACAAGGTTATGAAGATACTACTACTGCGAGACAATCATGAAAATGAGATTGAATTAGCTTTTTCCAAATAAAAAAACAACCTTTAATACATAAAACTAAATTGGGTAAATCGCTTCGCTGGTTTTATCAGCCGTTGACTTTGTCTGAAAGTAGTCTGGTGGAATACAAAATATGTGTAGAATGGATAAATCATCTCAACATAAATAAAGATTCATGAGACAATCCATAAGAAGTTGGTAATAAAAAAAGTAAATGGAAAACAATAAAATCATCAGTAAAATTCAGATAACACACTAAACATAACCAGCTAAACTTTCAGATAACTGCTATATTTCTACACTGGGTCATCTTGAAAGCAGTAATGATAAGATGCTGTTGATTTAAACAGCAGATAAAACCAGTAAATGAGAATTCTATCTGTGAATCAGACTTTGCCGTATCTCATTATACTTAAGTATCTCGAAGTCAAAATCCAAATATTTGACTTCAGAGTATACATTACTACCTCATGTAAGAAAAAGTAACTAGACAGAAATAGACGATATATGGTTATAATTTGCGTTCTTTTGTCTATAGTGTCTCTTTCTTTCAGTAATTTAGAATGGTTGGAGTGAAACCATTTCCTTTCAAATCTGTTTAGATGGTCTGATGTGTAGAAAGCAAACATCGTCTAATCTTCTTGAGGCTATGGGAATCAATGACTGAAAACCCTAGGAAAAATTAATCAAAATAGTATATATGTACTCACTCTTTTTTCTATTCTAAAAATCAGTTCCTATTTTGTTTTCATCAAAGCATCTTTAAATTTATTTTTTGTGGCGCTGTGAAAAGTGAAAACTTGAAATTGTATACTTTCGTGAAAAGTTCAGTATTGCTGAGTCTGTCTGAATTTTTTTTCCACCTAGCTTCTCAAAATAATTGAGTAATTGAAAACAAATATTTTGGAAATAATCAAAACGGATACCTTTTAGTACTCCGATTTCCAACAGGGGACTTTTCACTTGTGAAGTTACAGTTTTGCTGCTGTAAGTAAGGGTTTAATTCAAATAAAGCTTTCTTTTTGTTCGCTTTATTCTCCACGATACCCAGTGAATAAGCTAACTTTTAGTCCCTGATTAAACGACTATAAGGAAAAACACTGTGACCCAGGGAAACTTTCATTTTATTTGTTCTAATGGTAGCCATTAAATATTACATAAGATGAATGACCATTTTGATTCTCATAATTGGTAAACTAGTGCACTTCATTTTAAACGATCAGACAGAAACATTTAACATTTCATTTATTCTTAATAAATAGACTTTAAGCGCACAAACACATACGATATCTCAAATACTTATTTATTCGTTTTCAGTTTCTTAAATGAAATATACATTCATGTGTAATCCACTTAACAACTTTAGTGTTAATCGATGTTATCTTTTTCTTCAAACTGCAGAGGAAAGGGTTGAATCCAAATACCACTGAAAAAAACTCAATACCTTACCCATCAACTTCATTCAACTTAAGCAGAGGAGAACACACTTTCCTTTCATTCCGTAATAGATCAAATATCTTACCTCCACAATTATCTAAAGCAGAGATAGAACATACAGGTTTGGACTTATTATCACTTCGTGCTTTCGATCAACTGGCAACAGCACGAAGTTCGATGAACTCAGTGTCTTATCCGATAAATAATAAAATATACCGTCGTGTGGACATGCATTCCAAACTGATGGTACGTAAAGAAATCCTGTCTAGAAACTCATTTCCTCGATCGCCAATAAAGTCACCAAGTAAACAAAAATATCTGAATAACTTCACTTTGACTAACAAAAGGCAAAATAATTCTGTCTGGAAATTTAGTATGAACAACATTAACTTCAATCAGATGGACAGAAATATAGATAAAACTAGACATATAGTTCAAACAAAAACTCGACTTCTAGGTGAAAACCCCTGTTTTAAAAACATTTTACGTCAATCGTTACCAACAACCATCAGCGAACCAGATAGAAGAAAGAACGAAAGTGTAACGAGGTCTGATGTAGAATTTACTTACCGAATGAAAGAAATAAAGTTCAGGGATTCTCCTAAACGACTTACTTCCCCACCCATGCATCCAATATGGGATACGCCTGAAAATCTTCGAACATCAAAGTATGACTTTTTGGTCATTAAACGTTACAATCACTGAAAACTTATATGTTAGCGTTTTTGCGTTTCACCAACTTCTTGTGTGTTTGATTTCTTATCAACCATTTATAAACAAATTGTGTGACGAAAAGAACTTACATTACTTTTCCCACTTGAGCTCATTCAGGTCTACAGATCATATGTATGTCGAATAGCAGTTGGCATGCAGTTTCTTAAATAACAATTCATACTGTCGAAGCAAATATAAGAATTATCTGGATTTTAGTAATTAAGCTACAAGTGGTAGGTGAAATGTAGGACTGTGGAAACATTTCGGAGATACTTGCTACCCAAACTCGAACATCATTTTACAAAAAGTAGTAATTAAGGAAGGCAAGTTTTGGGTAGAATATGGGCCAAATTAAAAGACTATAAGGAAAAAACTGCGTTATTCCATTTTTTACGGCAACAATTACCGACCATAAGCATGTCATGCGAACAGTTTGTTAATATTTTGTTATGCAGCAGAGTTGTGCGAACGAACAGTTATAATTTAAGATTGAGAGTTCCAGATTTGAGAAGACTCAATCCGAGTGACTTCCAAAAGGAAATCAAAAGACATACTCAATTAAGTTTATATTATCTGGAACTGAAAACATGTATTAGTAAAAACGGACAAAACAGTGACCTTGGAAGACAAAAATCATAGGTGCACTAAAAGAGGTAAGAGCCGAACGGAATAATAGGGGGTTATAAGGAGTGTCATCAACAACAACAAGAGTGACTTTAAAGGGCACCCTAGTAACAATTAAAACAACCAATCAAACTTGTGTATTTTATGAAAACCTGCCTTTAAGGCTGAAATGAAGAAACCTAATTGGTTGTTTCGATCGTAGCTAGGATGGCCGTTAAATTCGCCCAACAGCAACCTAGGAACGTACATTACTGAGAAAAGGTCCGAGTTGCCATGCCTCAATCAATAAAGGTTTACAAACGCATCAACTGACTTCCCTCCCCTCCCCTCCCTTAAAATCTACATCTGGCTTCTGCATGATTGCCGTGATGACACCACAACACGCTCTATGCTACGAAGACAACAGTAGTCAAACTCTTGAAGTCTTCTCATTTCCTCTACTTCTAATGGCCATGCTTCACTGCCATACAGTAGAACAGAGCGAACTGCAGCACAGTACACTCGACCCTTAATCAACGATCAGATATCACAGTGGAGCCTCAAACGGCGTACGTTGGTGAAAGCTGATCGAACCTTTTGTTTCCGTGTAGAGATTTTGTAGGCCACTGACCCACCAGGGCTGATCCGACTTCCTAAGTATATGAAGTGCTCAGCGCAATCAACCATTATTTCACTCCCTACTGTTAGCCAAGACACCGCTGAAGACTAGTTTTGGAGCAATAATTTGCACTCAGATGGCGAGAAACGCATCTCAAATTGCTACTCAAGGTGTCTAGAAGACTGCAACTTGTCAGGACTACGTCATCTGCGTATTCTAGATCTACCAAAAATTTTCCTGCGATTAGATCAATCTCTGTGAAGTCAGATGACAAGAGGAACACCTCCATAATAACGTCTATGACAAGAGTGAACAGAAATGGAGACAGTGGACAGCCTTGATAGACACCACTCACTTTACGCAGTCAACCCCCGAGCTACACTCGAACGTCTAAGGATTGTGGAAACTAAAATCTTGGACGCTATGTTTGTCAATTTGGTCCCCTGCGGTTATCACAAGAGGACTTTCGAATTTTTCGAAGACTAGGACAATCGGTGATTAAGACCAATCAGATAGGATTATTTCTGATTTACAGGCACTATCTTACAATTCAGTTAACCTGACCAATAATCCGCGATCATTACCCTAAAATATATCCCAAACTAGTCCGTCTGGCACTGCTATCCTTTGTCGTGTCAGAATTTGACAGCTTTCTTGACTACTGAAAGTATTGGGAGTCCTATCTTAATGTTCCATTCAGGACCCAACTGGACAAGGGACAACAGAATACTAGCTTAAGGCCAATTGAGCTGTTCCTCAAACTGTTCATCCCAACGTCTTCTCTGTGAATGAGTCGTAGACCCATTCTTTTTCTCTGTGATCTCACTAACCACTGACCTTTTCGCCCTAGTCTCCTTGATCAATTTAAATGACTGTCCAATGTTACTTATCACCGTTCCCTTTTCCATAATTTTGGATTTCGCTACCAACCACTGTTCGCGATCATTGTGTAGACTATTTGTCAGTCTACTTTTTGCTCCCGATCCTGATTGTTTACAGAGCCTGAAGGGGTGCATCCGGTAGTCCAGAAGAAGCTTACCGAGATCCACGGATCCTTTCTAACCTGTTTCTTAGAGTCAGTTAGGGTTTTCAACGTCTTTTTTGACACCAGACTGGAGATGAGACCAGGCTTCTTCAGAATGAATGATACTGTCGTGTTCCAATAACTGTCGAGCCAGCTTTAAAGTTCTCATCGTTGAGCTGGGCTCAGAATAGTCTTATTTCTGTAGTTTTTCTAAGTTCACTTAGGTGTAGACATAAAATTGCTCGAACCAACGTGTGATCGCTGTCGAAACACGTGCCTTAAAAGGAGCTGCAGTCTTCCATCGATGACTGATAGTAATGTAGTCACTACTGAGTTGAGCTAGGTAAGCGCCGCGGTCGATAATGTTTCTCTTTGCGTCTGAAGTTTGTGTCGGCCATAAGAAAGTGGTTAACCAAACATATTTGTGGTAGGCGATCACTGTTGTTTGTTCGCTCAGCTGGGATGCCGAACGTGTCACCTAAGTACCTTTCTACTTAAATTAGCCTACCCCCTTGTGAACTGAAATGACCAACAACAACCACCACGTCAGAGAACTTGGATTTCAGTAGGAAGCTTTACAGTTTTCGGTACAACTCAACCTTCACTTCCCGAACTGCAGTCAGCGAGTGCCCAAGCTAAGATTACAATGAGAAAGCGTCAAGTTTCGCTATTATGCTGAGTCGTTATTGTACCGTTCAGTCGACTAGTGCACAAACGACTGTCAACTAGGGTCCAGTCGAACAGTTCACGTTCTACCTAGGCACTTAATGCGACACCTGCACCTAGAAGATTGAGAACTAGCCAACAAAATCTTAGAAACTTGAAGGGTGAGTTTTGTACCCACCGTATTGACTGTATGATGTGAAGCGAATAACCGCAATTTGGTGCTGTATGCGGAACAGGTCAATGTCCCGAGACGTTACAGTTTTGGGTGGTGAAGCTTGTTGGCCGACTTGAAGCAGCATGTAGACACTGAAAACTCTAAAACATCGTTCGGAGCGCGGTTTCAGGAGGTCAAGAATGCTAATCCGTGAGCACAGATTGCTACCAAAAGTTGAGGAGGTGAAAAAAATTAAAGATGATGCAGGGATGTTGACCAAGAGACGTGAAGGAGTGTTAGAAGTTAAGGATGTGGACAATGGTTTGAAGAGACTTGAATGCTAACAGAGTTGTGAGGGCGGTTGATACTACCTACTCCTCACACTGTGGAAAGCTGTTTTCTTGATGTACGCGAAAAGGAAGGGTCAGTGCATAACCAAGGGACATCTGCATGAGGCCAGCCACGCACTACCGTTTTTCAATTTTAAGTCTTTGCTTTATTGTATTCAATCATGATTCCATATCGCAGGCAGAGGCATACCGGGAGTGTGCTACTTTCGAGGCCCAACGCTTCTACCACCTTTCCCATAGGGAAGGCAGAACCAGCGTAGTGCGAGTCATCCCTAGGAAACACCTTACTCCCATCAAGTCAACAGTACGACTACGCCCTACCATCTCCATCACATTGTAGCAATCCACGCTACAACGGTAACTGCTTTTCGTGTTACCATTATCCTACAAACCTCTCTGGCACTTTAGGAACTTAGGGGGACAAGCATCCTGCCAGTATGTCTCATTGGGTGATTGTGATATACAAACTCGACTACCATGTCAAGGTAATAGCTAACGGTCGGGACATATATGAAATGTAACCCAAATGCGGGAAAAAGAGCGCAAACGAAAGCAGTTTAGAAAGTACAAACTTTAAGTGTGAAATATAATGAAAAGTAATTTTCAAAGATTGCAGCTACAATGTTGAATTGAATTCCAAGTTCATATAAAGGGTTTTCGTTGAGACGGTTGATAACTTTTGTGTTTGTATTTCTTCTTGGAAAAGATAACGGCTGGTGAACCATCACCAAAGAGGATAGGACGCTTGTAACGTCTCAGGACAGGCGGCTGAGACGTTGGGCAGAACACTTTCCAGCATAGACCAACTGGCCCAGAATCCAGCCTCAGCATGAATAGGACGTAGATGTCAACCTTCAACTCTGTTCGAAGTTAAAAAGGTTGTTTTGAACCTGAAACGATGCAAAGCAGCAGGAACCTATGGTTTTCCACCCAAAGTTTTCGAGGATGGAAGTGGGAAATAACTAAGATGAGTAACGGAGCGATTACGTAGTGCATTGGAATCAGAGGTAGTGTTATCATACTGGTCTGCTTCCCTGATCATCCCAGTCTACAAGAAAAGAGAGAGAGAATTCTTCCTGTGACAATCATAGAGGAATTAGTTTGACTATTATTTTGTCTAAGATTCTACGGTCCATAGTTATCTGACACCTGACTGGAGCTCAAGAAGAGAAAACTAGGCAGGTTCCAGACCTAGACGAGGGTGCGTCGATCGTATTTATACGCTCTGATAGTTTCTGGAACACAGGCATACCTACCGGCCAGTGGCTGATACTTGCCATATTCCTTGACCTGAACGCGGGGTTTGACTTGGTCAACTGTGGGGTATTTTGGCAGTGTCTGACTATGAAGGCAGTACTGAGAAAGTATATAACGCTAATCAAAGCCCTTTACTGGAACTCACGCAGCCATGTAATGGCTTATGGAAAGTTCCATGTCACCTAGTGACAGCTAGTGGTGTTTACCGGGGATGTTCACCATCACCATTCCTGTTGAACTTCATTATAGATCTACTAATAGACATAACCTTAGGCACGTATGACTTCACAGGGATTGACGTACTTCCCTTCCTGGATGTCATCTGGTTGACTTGAAGTAGGTTAACAGTATTGCCCTGCCAGGTGAAGGCTTACAAAATGCAGACTGTTCTGAAAGCATGGAGCAGAAATCTGAGTATGTTTGACATGCGTTTCACTGGCAACTGTCAAATGTAAGATGATGCACAGGGACTGATCGGGAACTACTGCCTGTTTAATGATAAGGAGTGAAGTGATGGAATGTGTCGACCACTTCACTTATTTTAGGATTTGCATTGGCACGAACTGGCTGACTGATAACGAAATATCAGCTCAGATACAGAAGGACCGTTTGGCATTGTCCAGCTTGCGTCACCTGTGGCGGCCAAACGGCGAGATATCCGACCATTAATCAAAGGACCGTTAAAATGAGAAAATATGAAGCGATTACAGAGTATCGGTCACACATGTCTTCATAGCATTGCTCACGTTTGGTGGGATCACACTATGAGTTATGCTGAGGTCAGGCGAAGGTGCTAGACAAGTCGACTGAGATGGCTTGGATATTTAATGGGCGTACCAAGTCACTGATTCCTTGACGTGCTATTCTAGGGGAAGTTGGATTAGGTTGGCAGAGAGTTCATTGTGGCTAGACCAAGACCTGGGACCAGTCGATGAAGTTTCTTACTGTTGGTGTGAGCGGTGTACTGAGATGTAGACTGCCTGATTGGAGTCCTCAAGACGAAAGTAATCAGTGGTTGAGGACTCGTGAGGGCATGACTGAAAATCGGTCACAATAGTGCAGATGTATTCACTCCTTGAAATCTTCTAAAGCTTGAATATTAGCGCCAAATTGTTTACTGTCCTACACAACTTTGATGTCACTCTTTTTCTAATCCACCTGTTCTTTATGCACTATTGTGAAGTGTGGAAACTTGACCCGATGCATCTGTGTGCTAGGTTCTACGTTGAATTAGACAGTCAGTCATTATTTTTTGGATGCTAAAGTCAATACACGTAGGTAGATATTCGTTTTCTAGTAGGGTTTTAGACTATCGTCTCTAACACTAATATATGCGATTGGTTGGTCTTTGAAAGGAAATTTTGGTAGCTGCTATATCTATGTTCTATGACAATAAAAAGATTCAAGGTATTTACACATAATCGCACTGTACAGCAGGGAGAGGGATAATCTTGAATGAGTGAGATAAAAAAACGCATAGAAGCAACTATGTGAAAAAGTTACTCGGACCAACTCGATAAACGGGTAAAATAAATGAAAGAAGTAACGAAAATTGCAGTACTGAGGAAGGTAGTGGGAAAACTTGGGAAATTCTGAAACTTTGCAAGGGTGGGATATTCCTATTAGGATTGGTATCAACCACAAGGAAGGTAGGATGTTAGTTATATCCATGACAAATTTATGGATTGTAGAGAGAATCAATTTATTATAAATGTGTTTGTACTGATTAGGATGTTAGCAACTATCGTCTTTTTCGATACATAATTGAAGTTAAAATTATCAAGTATGTGACGAGCTACTTCACCATTAAATGAAGTAGAACATGAGGTGTACGTTTTCAGTTATGAATTGGATAGTTCTAACACACATTTGCTGCTTTTCTGTTCGTGTAAACTTTCGAAGATCACTCATGATCAAAACTAGTGCCTCTTACTAATCAGGCATATATGTAACAACTTCCTATATTCTACTAATAGTACATGCATAACGAAACACCCACCAATTAATTACCACACAATTAACTGTCGAAAAACACTTCGTATACATTATGGTGACATTATAACAGTGACGTCAGTCCTCACTACAATTTATTTGGATTTACACCAGCGTTGTTAAATTTTCATAGTGATGCGACGGAGTCAAATGGCAAAATAATCAATCGGCATTATGAAACAAGTTACAGAGCGCATTTCTTACACATTCTTTTCAATTTAGAAAAAAAAAGGCGATTATCCAATCAGCGAACAATCCAACTGGCTAAACAGCGTACACTCGAATAAAATTAGCGTTCAAACAAAATACTGACGTTTTTAGTTCACATTTTATGGTGATATTCGGCCAGTCAGCATCAAAATAGGACCTGGCATCAGTGTACAACGGTCTAAGTTGTTAAAGCCAACATCCAAAAACGAAACGCGCTCAGCTATCTTGTGCTGTAGGCAATCAGCTACACTTATTGTGTGAAGGCTAATGATAATACCTGGCTGTCCAAACCTCTGAAGTTGGGGTAGAGCCTGAACCGGTGACCCAATGGTTGGTAGTTATCTATCTAAACCACAGAGTCATAGCTCCACAAACCTATGTCGATGCTAGGTTTGACATCGACATAGAACACAACGAGACAAGGAAATGAAGGTATCGTAGTTAAAAAACACGGAACGCTATTTCGTAAAACAGAGTCGTTTATCATATGATACAGAGCTAGATGTGAAATATAGAGGGAAATAAATATGAAGGAAATTAAAACGAAAACAAAGTAGAATCTTGATACTTATTTGGAATAATAATAATTCTACTGTGGAATAAGTTCACTGGCTACAGTACTGGGAACACAAATAAGTAACTAGTGACTTTCACCAGTCCCAGACATTTTCATCACTCGGAAAAACAAATAAGACGTTTCTAGTCAACTATTCGTAAACAATTTACCAGTATCCATTTCGCCACAAAACATTTGTTCGAGTTTCAAAATGACACATTCTCCCACTTGTTTCGAAACGTAAGTTTCTAAATCGAGAGTAGGAGCTTCAACTGAGTAGAAATACACCAACAACAACAAAAATGAAGGCCACTCAGCTTGAGGACAAATTTCCGCAATTTGTCAATAAATAGACGAAATTGTTACTATTTATATCTTTATAACAGACTGTTTACTATACTTTTTTAGTTGATGATCTTTCATATTATTAGTTATATGTGTGAGTAGTAATTACATCAACTCTACTCAGTATATGGATGAACAAGAACGAACCTTTTAATAGTAGAAACATTGATGCTGATGAATTATGAGAGTATATTAGAGCATAATTCTCATCTTGGTTCATTCATTAAATGCACTCAATTACTAACTGTGCCTTCCTATGTGCTATATTTAACAAATGAACTAAAAAATTGACGCTGCGAACCCTTTTTTATTTGCTTTTTAAGATATTTAATTATTCTAACGACTACAGATAACTTTTCTAAACATATCGTTTATGGTTATTTGGTTGCGACTAGCAAGAGAACCAAGAACGTACGTTTTGTCTTATTTGGGACTTATCAGTTGGATGTACTTGTACCCCAGTGAGTGACGTTGTTCCCACTGAGACTCGAGCCTCGTACGCATCGCTTCAAGAGCTAAGGCATTATCCACTATACCACGGAGGGGACCAAACAATCTGATCCAACAAAATAACGGAGAATTACAAGTATATCAATAAATAGTAATGCATATTGTTTATGATTTTAAAAAATGCTACGCACATTATCGTAAAATTATTCCTGAGGAGTTCATATAGCCACGAAGATTCAATGAAAGTAATGGTAAACACTTATTCAATTCCAAGAAAACTTTAATTTGCAAAGCTATTTTATTCCATGAAGTGTCGAGGGAATATACAAGTAAATTAATTAATTTGAATAAATTAGCAATAAAACATCTACGTATAACGAAGTAATAGCAGTCACCAAATTTTTCATGTAAAAACTGTTTTTAATCTATCAACTTTCAGAATTTATTAAAACTGAATTTACACAGTCTGATAATAAAGTATGATAGGATTCCCAATGTAAATGGGATATTTCACTATTAGTGCAATTAGTAATCATTTCTGATATAGGTAAGAGTTTAAGAAATGCATATTTATACCGTTCAAGACCATTCAAATGAGTAGAACGTATAGGTCTACCTTTTGCAGTTAAATGCACTTTGTTAAGTTCAGTAGAAAGGCACTTAGCTACCATATGAGCACAATTTAAAGCTGTTTCATTGGACTAAAAAGGAAAAGAATAAAGAATAAAAATCAATCATACTGAAAAGTTGAAAATGGAACCAGATTAATTCTTTAAATGTTTTCATAAAAATCAGATTTTATATTGAAATCTTAATATTTTTTATCGCGGTTATGAATTCTTTTATTCCTGTCTGTAGTTGACTTTCTAGAAATATGCTCTTCTAAAGTTTATCAAGTTGAATTCTTCTAATAAAAGTCAATTTCAAACTTCCATTTTAGCTTACCGCACAAACCTGTACGACAGTACCGTATTTTACTGAAGTAGTACGTTTAGTAAACATGTTAATACAAACGTATCAGGTACAAGCGAAATTCACTTGACGAATTCATATATTGCACTACTCCGTAGCTCAGATAATAAAAACCTCAAAACTGTTTTCATCACGAAATAAAATGAATTATAAAATCATTGGAAATTATAGAAAAACGAACGGATTGTTCATTCTAGCTTGGCAACTCATCCCATTTAAGCTACAAAAAATCATGGTAGACGCATCACATGACGTGAGAAACAAATGGATTTATTAACAGAGAAGTAATTAACCTCTATATGATAAGATTTTTCAACAATTAACGAATATGAAGTAAAGATTGCAAACTTTGAGGGACATATCCTATTTTTATTTGTAAACCAATGGAATTCCCTAAACAAGGAAAACAAAAGTTCTTCAAACTATTCAGTGAAAATGTCATTAGTGGCATGCAACGATTTGACTGAGTTGAAGTTGTTTTCACCGTCTTCTTATTATAGTCAAAGCAAAACATTTAACTCGGTTTGGTTGGAGTAACACATGGTCTCATTATTACAGTTAAAGTTGAGATAAGCTACCTAATAGAGAGATTCAACTATAGTATCTATTTTTTAGAGCAGTAACTTGACAACATTCAGTCGAAGAGTTTAAAGGTAAAGTTGGATGAATTCTTGTAATTTTTTAGTGCAGAATGGCTTTATTGACGATGCATTACAACACATTACAAAAAAGGCGCTAATGTCGCAGGAGAGGTGATAGTTACCCATCACAAATGCAAATCGTTAATATCACTGGTTACTACTGATTGACTATTTAATATATATATATATATATATATATATATATATATATATAGACGTTCTTTGTAAAACTAAAATAAACATAAATCTCCAATAAATTACAACCCACTATTATTGTAAAATGAAAATAAATTTATACCAGCTTACATTTAGTCTTGGGAAATAACAAACAGCTAAATTTTCATGATAGACAACAAATGGCTGAGTTGTGCTAAGTCGCAGAAATGCAAGGATAAGCTAAAAAAAAACAACAACAACAGAATGCAATAATTTCGAACCAACTACAGAATACTGATGTGATTAGTTGAATTACCTGAAAAATTGTTCAGATAAAAATGAAATCCATTATATATAGATGAAGTGTTTTAAACATGGGAGAAGACACAAAAATAAACGAAATCATTGTGAGCCATTAAACTTCATAGGAGTGGTGATAAAAATGCTCAGGATTTCAGGGACAAGAACAACTGTAAACACATATGCCGATCAGACTGGTCTCGAAAAAATATCATGAAGTACCCTTACTTTCCAGTCTCACTAACTATCGTCTTTCTCCTAACAGTTTCCTCAATCAACTTAAACAGAGGTTGAGTATTATCCAATGCTAATGTCTTTCTAATCTCTTTGGTTACCCACCACTCTTCACGGCCACTGCGCAAACTTTTAGTCAACGATATACTACTTGTGAACAAAATAAGCCGAAATATGTATTCTCGCACCAATCAATTCAGATGACTTGCGGCAGTCTACTGGCTTACACTAACTTCTGGATTAAGGTTAAGGACTGTCCTTATAGTTGTTTATGCAGCAAACTGAATATTACGCTAGGCTTCACTAGAATGTGGGTTTCTGCTATGTACATACTTATGCATAGCTACTAATCCTCTAAATAAACGCCTAAGCTTCTGCTTTTCCAACTGAACATACAAATACCTTACTGAAATCACAGAACGGGAAATCAACAAAAACTCAGTAAAAATTGCACACAATTGACTATCATATTTTTGTACACTTTCAGTTTTAAATCAAAAACACGAGGTGTAAACTGAACATAGCTAACTATATAACCTTTCTAAAAACATTCCTTCCTTCGTTTCCGTCTTGTCATTTCCTACAATTATTTACCTCTGGGGACATTATGAAGAGATTCTTCATAAAGAAGAAACACTAGAGTCACTTACGCTAATGGTAGTGTACCATCAGTCTACCTCTTTGATAAACTGGTTTCATGGAATAAAAGTAATGAAGTTTAGTGTTCTTCAATTACTAGTTTAGTAAGACACACGTCAATTCCGCTGCATGAATTCGACTGAGAATGAGAAAGATATAGACTGATATAGACCAAGGCTTTTCTGATAGTTCAACTAATGACTTCCTTTTGAACTTAACAGCTAGCTAGCTTACCAGTTTGCAAATGGAAAATGAGATAGAAAGTTGAATCAAGAAGGATTCTAGATGTAAAAACAAACAACCAAATGTATTATTACACTAATCAATGACGAAGAGACTCAGTGAATATTTTACTTTTATGGGTACAGGAAAATGCAAACTAGTGATGCGGACTTCACTTTTTAAATAGGATATCCTCCAGTGTCAAACAGAATTTACTTGAACAACAATGTAAAACTATGGAATAACGGGGATTTGTAGCTTCAGACGCCTAGAAAGTTGATGTTCTTGCCACTTTTGAAGTAAAAGCAAACTTCAAACTGGTTACATCTTTGAACCATTAAATTGATTAACACTATTTCAGTTAGTTTAATAAAGGTAGTAGATTACATAATGAAACGAAATGACTAGCTTACTTCATCTGACTTGTCAAAGTCAAGTTTTGCAATAGCAGTATGGGATGTTTCACATTTATTCCTCATCATTGTTTCCAAACTTTGAACATATAGCTGAACTCTATCTTCATCAATTGGATTATCATCTGTTTTATTTTTGATACGATAAACATAAGCTTCTAATGCCAATCGAGCATATAATGGAAGAAGTCCAGTGGAGAGTGGATCATTTAAAACTGACTCTAACCATTTAACGTGGATATTGGCCTCTTCCGGATTCTCTATAGCTTGCTTTTCTCTTAACTTACCTTCTTTTACTAAAGCATTTCCGTACTGATGAGCATTTTTTGCTGACTGACCGAAAATGCAAGTGAACTAAGACAAAATGTTAAAAAAACAACATAGGAGTGAATTAGATATAGTTTGTATTTGTGTAAGTCACAGCATGTTTGAAATGAAACAATTCAACGTTTCGCATGGAAGTCTGATCCGAGCTTCTTCAGGGAAATAATCAAATTAAAATATCAAGGATATATAAATAAATTCAAAGACGTTTCTTTAATCTCCTTGTCCAATTAGGGATGAATTGTTTGTTAAGCAAAAACAACGAAAAATTAATCCTAACTGATGATATCAGAAATGTGTTAGGTAATATCAGCAGTTATAATTATTTATGAACTAGGTAGCTATAATTACATCAAAGCTATGAGTGACTTTATAACTAACTTCAAAACACGATGCTCCTGGTCTTTCAGTAACGACAACTCACGACTAACTAGAAAAACAAACTTCCAAGGTTATCAAGATGACTTTGCTTCCCAACAATAAGAGTTATCATAGATAACTGACACTCCTGCTAGGATAAACTTTACACACTGTCAATTCATCGTGCGACCAATGAAATGAAAAGGTTCTTCAACAATTTTGAATACGATAATAGGAAGTCTCTGTTGACAAATAAAAACCTCCCCTATGTTCATTGGAAGTAGCATTTATTAAATTGGAAAGTATCAATTTTCTGCTTGAAAATATCTGCTGTAGTCAAAGAATAAGTTGGGTTTTTTGTAGTAATGATGCTTTACACAACTACACTGCGTTTACTAGAAGAATACTTTGACCAAAAAAATTAAATTGCACTATATACAGCAAATCAAACAGTACTTGTCTAACTTTGACCTACAGCTTCTATGAAACAGAAATATAAAGTTCACATATGAAAAACCTTTTGAAAGTACTAATTCTTGTTAGAAATGATGGCGTTTGAAAACTGTCGCAGCTAAATTACGACAGTGAAAACGGAAAAACATTGTTCACAAGATGAGACTGGTTTTCTTGGAATACAAATGGTCAGCCAAAAAGTAAAACTCCCTATCCCAGTTGATAACTGAAAAAAGTTCAGATGTAATGGATATGTACCATGAAAACCAAATGAATAAAAAAAAACTACAAGTTATAATAGAACAGTTCATTGGTCACAGAGGTAGTGATTTCTTATTTGTCATTTCTGTTCCTCATAACTGTATTCATTTCGATTTGTAATAAGTTTAACTGAATCCAAATTAAGACTGAATGGTTTATGAAGTAATTACCGACCTACATGTGGAGGAGTAATACAAAATACCCATTTATTATGTTTGTTGGTTTCAATATACCCGTCATGAATTACACAATTAAAAATGCCCAGTACATTGTATTTATAGCACTGTCATTTAGGTAGACTAAATTCCTTAGTGTCTTTCTCATAACTTTGGATTTTATGTACAATGAATACAATAAGATCTGACTGATCCTAGTTATTACTGGAATAAACTGATAAGAGATTGTTTCCCTTTTCAGAATACTTACCTGAACTCCTATCAACCCTTCTTTCGAGTACGTAAGTAAATGTATGTGAATGGGTGCATGAGCAGTCAGTGTTTCTAAAAGAAAGCTAACTAAGCAAACTTAGCAAAGTGACAGCAATCCTCATACTGATATAACCGGGAATTGCATTCCACCTGGTGCCAATACAATAGTAAAGATAATCAGAAGTCAACAATCAAAACTCAGAAAGCATTGCTATCAATAAGCTACTTAAAATTCACAAAAAAGAACGGTCAAAGTAAAGTTATAGTCATTGAGATTGTCGCAAAGAAGTAAAATCAGCACAACAGATATCTGCATAATAAGTACAGCAACTTGAAAAAAAGGTTCGACTGGCTTAATGTTACTAAGATTCCATTATCATTAGAACATTGATTAAACACTTCAAAATTTTCCCAAATTCATACAGATGCTGCAAACTTGAAACAGGACTAGATGGTCTACCTCATTAGGTCTATAAAGACTAGTCAAAAACCACAGGTTAGAATGAACGACTTCCCAATTTAAGAATGGCAGTCATCTTTACCTTCTCAGAAAAGAATCCTCATATAATGATCACAGAAGAACAGACTGAATTAATCCTGAGATTATTCGATTTATACGCCTTCGGTGTGTAACTAGAGCTCAGGTGCTGACCAATCCAGAAAAAATCGAGCCGATTGTAAACCTGGTTCACCAACTCATCAGATTTCAACATAGTTGTGCTCGACACATATTTGCTGAGTTGTATGCAGCACTTAAATTCTTCAAATGAGGGGTCTTGTCCCAGCATTTGAATGCAAAGAAAATAAACAATTCTGCTAAAAGTTCTGGTGGAATTTAAGATCCCTTGTAGTTAATGAAAAATGGTAGTGTGAATTAGCTTCATCATAAATATGTTAGTAGGAATGATTAAGTTCACTTCCCAGCACTCATGTCCAGCCTCTATGATCTCTGATTAACTTCCAAACAGATGGTGTAATCTTGTTAGCCGAAAAAACGATGCCAAGGTTCAAAGTAACGTGAACGCATTCAAAAAGCAGCTGAGGACGTTTGAATGTGTTTTATGTTTATCGAATGTAGAATTATGCCGCGGGGGAAGTAAGCAGTAGCATTCAGCTCAGAAATATAATGAAATGGTCGTGTGTTGACTACTTCACTTATTTGAGTTGAATTCGTTAAAATGAGTTGGGTACTGATGAAATCTCAGCGCGGATACAATAGGAATGTTTGGCATTGGTTGATTCGCGCTATCTTTAGAATTAGTGCAATATCCAAATTTAGTCAAGATTTTCATTCATCTCTAGTCCATACCTCTGTGGTGTACACAACGATGGATTGGCCAACCAAAATATCTCAGACAATTTAATTAACAGTAGACGTTATAATATGATTATCTTAAATGTGTTGAAAAGAAAACAATATGATACTTTCCCACTAGTTTCCTCGAGGTATCTTTTTTCAACAACACCCTTTTATTATTTGATGGTGTTAACAAGGGAAGCAGTTCGAATGAGTGCAAAACTGTGCAACAATTCTTCTTATGTGGTTCGTAAACCAGAGTATACTTGATAAATACTTAAAACAATATTTGATTCACTTCAACTTTTACAACAAATTTACCCTCAAAAGTTGTTATAGATGTAAGTGCGATGGTGGATTGGCTCAGTGGTAGAGTGGGTAACGCTTTCGGAGTTTGGAGCGATCGGTCCCGGGTCCGAGTCCCGATGGGAACAACACTCACTGGAAGTCAGATACATCCAGCTGAGTCCCAAATAAGACGAGATGTCCACCCAGGATTCCAATGCTAGCCACTACCTATCATTACTAGATTGATAACAATGATAAATAATACTAGTATTGGGGTTTTCTCATTTGCAGACAGAAAGATTAGCAGAGAACTTGATACAGAAATGCATTGTTTCAAGTTGCAGCACTTCAAAAAACAGTCAAAGCTAATCATAGAATAGTCAATAAATCTTGAATTCCCAAAAAGGGTATGCGTGACCGACATCGAGCGGATATCCCGGGGTTTCATGGCCAAATAGAACTATTCTAGTTTCTTTTTAAGGTACTTCATAAATTCAGGAAGTCAGGAGGTATCAACCACCGATACACTTCCATTAGTACACAAAACATAGCTAACCGTAAACTGTCTCCCTTAACCTTTTCTCTTCCTTTGCCTTCTTTATATGTGTTAGGAGCTGGATACAGATTTACTCTTGATCGAATTTGCAAAACATACATGAAAATAACTGTACATATGCTAGGAAATACTTATTCTTAATGCTGGTATCCTACGTTGATGATACACAAATTGGTTAGCATCGAACTACCGGGTACTCAGAGTTGACAGGAGTGTATCAATCGAGTCTTCAATCTCCTTACTAAAATAAGAGATGTCACTATGGCACAACGTTTTGGTGCTAGAGAGACTCCATTACAGACAGAATTGCAAGATATGCACTTCATTCTGTTTAAAAATCAACATCGTCACCAGTTAGCATCATAACTAAGATTAGGGATACCGAGGAAAAACAATAACCACATCATGTAATTGAAGCCCATACAGGTTACCAAAAAGCTAGGATTCAAACATAAAATTACATATTTAATTTTAGGGTTAACTTACTTCCTTAACAGTTTTTTGGCGACCTTTAACTGCGATTACAGCTATATCCTGCAGGTCGCATAATTTGGAGAGATGTGTACCTCCACATAATTCTGCTGATATAACAGACGTAAAATCTGCTGCTTCATTATCACCAAAAGAATGCTCAACTTTCCCGATACAAACAGCTCGTACTTTTTCACCGTATTCCTCCCAAGGGAAATATCGAATTTCTTTCATCTTATCGAGCCATAGAAAACAACGAAGAAGTTTAAATTACGTCAGAAAATAATGTATTGCTTATAAATTTTCATAAATGTGAGCTAGATAACTGTCATAAAATGTTTTGATGAAAGAAAAATTTAATTCTCTCAACTACATCCTGAATATGGAAACAAGAAGTGGTATTCCTCAAGGCCATCAGTGCTTAAAAAGAACACTGTTTTACTGAACGCTATTATTATATCATAAAGCGGTATAAATAATTGAAACCTCTAGTAAGTTATTAACTTAGACCCTGCTTGGGTCATTTGTTTCAATTACCAGTTGCTCATAATCCATTGTAATTAGGCCTGGAAAAAGAATCGGTATTCCGCGGTCACTTCGAGTTATTTTAGGTACACAGATCCTCGAAACTTACTTTCGTAGCCTTTGTTACGTCTGTATTCCAGATAGAAATAGGTATATCTTTATTGATTAGTTGCTGACATCTTTGCTCCAACTGTTGAATAAAATCAGCTAAGTCTTCTTGCATTTGATCTGATACTGGCCCAACAACAGCAGCTTTCAAAGTAAAGTGGTTCGGATGGGTAACACCACCAAAATGTTGGAAAGTTGACAACTTTGAACTATCTGACTGCATAAGTGATTCTAAAGCTGAGGTAAATAAGTGTTGGCCAGTATGTGCACACATGAGATTATATCTACGCTCCTGGAGTAAAATGTACAACAAACGGAAATAAATCATGTGTTATTAAAATATATTGATTTATTATGATAGAGACAAAGTATATCACAAATTGATAACAGATAGGTAGTCACTGAAAACTAAGTAGCAATGGAGAGATTTCTCGTTCTACTCTGAAAAGCTTTAGTAGTGTATGCTCACAATCCCATATAAATTCATGTCGATGACATTTAGATACAGCTCAGAGCATGTTAGTGTTCACCCATTGGATTTCAACGGTCTCCACGCTTCATAACTTCAACCGATTGTGATATAGTGTAATGATCTTCCAATGATATCGGTAGGCGCTTAGGCACAATTTTGACTTGATTACACTCCCTGATGAGGGCTTGTAGTAGTTCTACGGTTCCTGAGGATCTATACCTATCCAAATAGAAAAGTAGTTTACTGACTTTTATCATTTACGATAACCAACAGGAAGTATTGAAGAAGTGCCAACGGTAAAGAGAAATATTTGACAGTCTTTTCGAATACCTTGAAAGTAGACCAAATGTATACTTTAGTTGTTGAAGATGTTGGATACCTAAAAATAAACATTTTATGCCTAAATTTCATAAATTTGCTTCATACAAAATTTGAATTAACTTTTTCACACCTATTTCCGCCCCACGTGTATTGCTCATTTTTATCACTTTTAAGAACAATATTTCCCTACTACTTAATCCCGTACTTTTAATACACTTATTTGTCTGTTCGCCTCAAAGATGCTTACACTATATATAAACACAGGAGTTGCACCTCTAGATTTATACTCTTCGATTGAACTCTCTCTCTCTCGGATTAATACTGTTTTCTTTCTTGTGTTAGCTGAGGGAATTGTCAAGAGTCATATCGTTCATTGAGTATCCTAATCACGCCTTCCTAGTTAACCATATCCGGAAATCTTAACATTAAAGTCAAAGTCTGTAGTCCCCTCATCGTTGATTGGACCAAATAAATTGGCGACTATTGGTGTCTAGATTCCTGTGAGGATGTCTTGACATTACCGATATTGACAATGGAAAGTGGTTAGTAATGGAATTCAAGATACACGTTTCCTCTTATATACAGATAACAAGTGCTGAATAGGATGAAATGCGCATCCTGGATTTCACTTCTAGACATTATTTGTCAGTAATGTCAAACACATATTTTGTTTTCAAAATATTCCAAATTGTGTACCAAACTACCCTTCCCATCTAAAAATCTTGCGCTTATGCAGAAACGTCTTTACTCATCAAGTGAGGTTTATATAGCCACTAAGAGCACCCTCTGTTTGTGTTAGATGCAGAATGTTGGTCACATGTCAGTAGATAGCCGTTACATCTTTTAGCCCTCAACAACAACTAAAAGGTATATAATATTAATATTATAGTACGTTATGAACAGAAGTGCTAATAGCAATTCATAATTATATTTTTAAAGGCAGACAAAAAGGACGCTGAGTGCTCGATCAGGATATTCAATTGGTATCGAGTAGAAACAATGAATCACAATCGAAATAATTACATTATGAATAGACAAAGTAGTTCGAGAATTTGTCTCCAATTAACGAACGTATAATAGATATGAGAACAGGAAACGAACTCACTTTATCAATGCTTAGAATAAAGGGTTGATCAAACTGTATATCACTCATTGAACCGGGTGAAGTATTCAACTTTTGACACCAATGTATCACCCAACCATTAGTTGAAGAGTTTGATGTAGAATCAGGCAGAAACGTTGTTTCGTCAACTTGAAATTGAAGACCCTAATTCATTATAAATTATTAATAAATAATTAAATTATAAGCTTTCAATGAGTTGAAGATCATGAAATATGGTGAAGCAGACTAACAGGAGGAAAGTTCTGATGGGTGTGAAATTTTGAGTTACACATTCTGTGAAAATAAGACAACACATAGTATCCGAATAAGCCATGATAGCAACTGATTCAGAATGTCATCAAATAAAAAAACTGAAACATGCAATTCATGAACTTGAATATACAAAGTGAAAAAAAATGGCAGTCAGTAGGACAGCTACTTTTACTTTAACATATTTTTAATAATCATTTTTTTGTTAAATGTTTTTATGAAAAGTGGCACTAAGTGACTTTTCTGTGAAAGGGTATAGTCATGGTTAATATGTAATAGCTTATTAAATCAATAGATACATGTTTGTTCCAGATGTCTGGAATATTCGACTACCGTTAAAAAAGAATGAGTTCAGAATGCAAAAACTAGGTTCCCAGGTAAACAGCTCACCTCAGTACGAATACAGTTAGTAGGTGTATGAAATGACCGAGTGGAAGTGACCGACAGTATAATGCAAAGTACGAGAAACACTACTGAAGTAATGAGATACTTGGAGTGGATACGAATAGCAATTGTGCTTCCTTAGGACCTGATACTTCACTGAGCCACGAAAATCAGAAGACAAAGTGTTCTTCTGCATAAACGGTTCTGTGTTGTCAGAATTATAGGATAAAGATGATATCCGCATTGTATCCATATCATATTTCAGCTTGGATATTTTAAATTCCGGTCTACTATAACTTTGATAAGGCTATTAGCACTAAGTAGAGAAACGTCAGTTGAAACAAATTTATTTTGTTCGACATTCACGGGGAAATACAAATATCAAAATAATGAATATCATTTACCCAACGCCCAAATATTTTTCCAACCATCAAATCTCAATTTGGTTGGGATATCTACAAGAAGTTAACTTCATTTGGTAAAAAACATCATTTATATACACTTTTTCCTCAGGAAATAAACCCAATAGGTGAGAGGTTGGATACTTATTCTGATTGGTCAGCTGTAAGACAAAATCGTCCTAACCACACAGTAACATGAGATGAAGTTGAAATCCAAACCTCCTACCTTAGCGGCTGATGACTTTGACTGTTGATTTCCATATATGCAACTTCCAATCACTGTATCAAACCGTCTGCTAGTATTTAAATCCTATAATTATCAGATTGTCTTGAAGTATGTGCTAATCTTTTGTATACACAAGTTGGCTAGTCATATGTGAGTGGAGCTGTAGCTGATCGATCTGCGCAACCAGGTAGTATCATTAGCCTTCACATAACAAGTGTGGCTCATTGCATACGGTTGGTGAGTGTATTTTAAGAAAGTCATTGGGCGAAAAAAATTTACTCGATTAATCAGATTTTTGTAGAGTGCATTACAGTTAACACAAAATTTAAAAAAGATTATCTTACCTTAGAATGATAATAAATAAGGCCAGTATCACTATCTTGACCACCACATGAAGCAAAAAAATTAGTCTGTTCAAAAATAAGACCTATCACATCACTGGGACAAGCATTCTTCGCTTTACCAGATAGAATTCCAACTGTAGAAAACAATTTTGAATTTAGAGAGGGTTGTTTAACAATTAATTCATACTCATTTCCTTTACTTGTGAGTACCAAAACTCCCAGTAATTTAGTTTCACAATCTGGAAAATCTAAAAAAGGAAATACACATACTCAAGTGAAAAATAATAACGTTCAATCTAAAACAGTTTCAATATATAAAAAAACACATCTGGAGTCATTCTTTTCACCTCAGATGATAGCAACTATCCATTCTGCGTAAAACACCAAACAAAGATATGAAAGTAAATCATGCCAACTCCAAATGGATAATAAGAATTGCAGGTTGATATTCTATTGGATCATAAAAATCAAAGAATGACGATAGTCAGTAGAATGGTTTTGAAAAATTTTCAGTAATGTATGTTGGCACGTCCTTCTGCATATAACTATTTTCTTTTCAATTTTCGGCTAAAATTGTATACCTGTGTACCAGCTGCATGTCTATGCCGAAATTCAAAGCATGTGAGAGAAACTATAGTAGGCTAAATACATAAGTATTATCGAAAATCGTCATCTCTTAGGTGGATTTGTGTACAAAAGTCCGTCACTAAATTTAGTTGCTAATATAAATTAAGTTGATGAATTACGAACATGAGATTATGGAACGGAAATTAAATCTATAATACTTTGTTCAAAATGTTGAGCAGAATCACTGTTTTTCCATAAGTATTTATCAATAATGAACAATAGTAACCGAGCTATCGCACCATATTGTTGTTGGTGGCCTGCTTGAACTCTGGGTCACCATACACTGTCACAGAATATATTGGATCAAATTCCTACTATCTACATTGTTCTAATCGTTCAGTTATGTCAACCAATTGTATCGTATTCTCTCTCGCGTTTTTAAATTCATTACAACCTATTGCTTTACAAGTTGATAGGCAAATTAAGAAGAAACACCACGGTGGATGTCGACGGGCCCTCAAGCTTATGACTATAGATCAAATGACTATTCTGGAAATACTTAGCACAAACTGCAGGTGGTTACTGAATAAAGTTGATTACCTTCAGTCACTCTTGTCCACAAATGTTTATCAAAACACGGATGTAATAATACTACAGGAAACATAGCTTCATAACCTGTATGATGATGATTTAGTCTGCTTAAATGGTTAATATGAGTGTAAAACTTGGGCGCTATGGTAGAATGTAATTCCGTATTAGATTTGTTTATTTGATATATAGCGCACAGTGATACAGTATTATTTACTTGATTACGTTTCGAGCATAAATTATTGCTCATAATTATAACAATGTAATCACACTTCTTTCGATATCTGATTTTATAGTCCTGTCACCTGATTTTTCTTTGATTTTTGTTTTTTGATTGGTAGCAGAATTTTCCATATCTCTGGTATAGGTGTTGCATCATTCCTATTACATGTGTTGGGTGTGGGTTCGATGAACAAAGATTCAGTAATTAATCTCTCTCTCCACCTAGCTATATTAGACTTAAATACAGTGGTTTTGCCTTACCCTATTGTGTGGTTATGTTAATGAATGTAATGCAATGGCCGAGTGTTTTTCTAGATTATTGATCTTACTGGGGTCTGCCGTTCTATGTTTAGCTAAATTCCTATGTTCTGTTAATCTAACTGACCCCGACCGGCTAGTTTGACCTATGTATTTGACATCACAGTCATTACATGGAATTTGGTAGACTATATTATTATGCCTAATTGGTTCTACCGGATCTTTTAGCCGACAAGCACGTTTCACAAATCATCGTATCTTCAATATTCGTTGCATGGAAAATCAAATTATCCCTAAATATCTTCGCATACGAATGCCAATATATACTGGCAAAATCGAAAGGGCAATAGAACACGTCAGCAAACTATGTCTGAAAGAAGAAATTCACAGGATTATTAAGAAATTAAGTACCATTCAGAATAAAATTGAACAACTTAAATGTAAAATTATGAAGATAGTAAACTGCAGAGACTACGGATTTATAACAGAAACATCAGACAAAGCAAGATTAGCTACTTTCAAGAAATCTAGAAGCAATCAAATCAAAAAGTTCGACAAACTAATGCAAGAAAAATATCCTTCGGAAAACAATGAAACTACAAAGGAAACATCATCAAACATCGATAGAACAAAATGGGTGGTCAATCTCTCCTCGAAAGCCTTAAGCTCAGCTGAGATGAAAGTACTTGAAAAAGAACTAAACTTCAACATACCAGTAGATCATCTAAAACCAGAAGATGTCATACCTAGCATAGAAGTAGCATTAAGCTTGATGGATGTGACAACTGCTGAATAGGTTAGAGCGCAGTGTGCATTAGCACTAAAAAAACAAAAGACACAGCGAAACTTAACAAACTGGGAAATTCAGCTTTAAACAATCTACGAAAGGATAATAGTATAGTAACTGCTAAATCTGACAAAGGTAACTCAACAGTAGTTATGGACAAATCGGATTATCTTTAAAAAAATGGATGAACATATCCAAACAGGGCCATATGAAGAGATTAAGAAACCTATAGATACTGTCATGAATAAAATTAAGAAATCTACAACAGATCTGATACGCCGACTGAAGCCATCTCTAGGTAAGTCCGAATGGTTTACTGCAATGCCAAAAAACTAATAATCCTAGCAGAATTTACGGTACTATTTTACCTGTCGTTCGATATTGTTCCATATTAATCTTCTAAAAAAGGAATATGTAATGTTGCGTAGGGCTTTGAAAACCGTCAACAGGGTGAGTGGTGGGCTTCTGACTCAACTGATTAGCACTGTAGTTGATAGACATTTAAATTCCAGCTAGCAATTAGCTACAGCTCTCTCCATATATCTCCTCAGGAAGGACAAGAAGAAACTACAAAAGACTGTATGCTCGTACAGCTGAGTATAAGAATTCGACTGTACCTTACCTAGGACGCACGTTATGTGAGAAAAAAGGTGTTAGAACAGAAATCACATATCAACTTTGTAACAGTTAACAATCTCATTTCAATAATTTAGTAAACAGTGTAAAATTTTCTCGTTTTTAATATTCTTTACATTACTTTTTTTCATAACACAATTCGAAATGTTGTAACAAAGTATGTATATACTTATATTTTGTTGCTGTTGCAATATATTGTGCTGAGAATTCCAAAATGCACCACAAATTGTTTGGAATAAAGTGAATTATTATTATTATTATTATTATTATATTTATAGCGCCTTAAAGAAATGAAAGTCAAGTTGAGGGAATCTAGTAGTTATGCAAATGATGATAACATAATAAATCATCAACTTTACACATTAATTCAATAGGAGAGGTGACTTTTAGTATAATCCGTACAAACAAAACCTAAGACTTTCTTGACGTCATACATTGTATGTCTCCATCGTTGATTGAACTGAATTGATCGGCAACTATTATACCATATGGGATCCTGTGCGGATGCGTCAGCACTGTTGGTATTTCCAGTCTTGATACTGATGGTGTATAGTGACTAGTAGTGGGATATAAGACGCGAATTTCGCCTTATTTAACGCTCGAAGCGATCGAACCCGAGTTCCAGTCTTCTTGAGAACAATATCACTCACTAAAAAGCAGGCGTATTCAGCTGACGAATCCCAAGTAGGACGAAATACACTGCTAGCTACTATCCGTCATCAATATCAAATCTAACTTGAAATCAAAAATAAAGTAGCCGAAAAAAATCTAGGTGATATAACACATAATTAGGTGCAGTAATATTTACAATACTTACTTACTGCAGTCTTTTGATTTTGCTTTTTTTCCAGCTCACTTCAATAATTTATTTTCCCCATTGAAGTGTGGTGATACGGCCCATTTGCTAAAGCACTCAATTTCAGAACAATATGTCTTAAATCTCCCTCCATCAAAATAGGACTAGGTGACTAGGTAGTATCAACAACCCTCAAATACCAAATGTAGCTCGTAGCCTATTATATAAACACATGGACTGGGTTAAGTTGCATCACTCAGTATGTTGCTTTTTGGACTGATTACCTCCTGTTTTAGAATCACAAGTGGTTGTAAAACCATCTATACTAAGCCTCTTTTTAAATGGCTTTACTTAATATGATAACTAGTCTGCTTTTGCAAAACACGGACCTGGAACACACTATACTGATATCTAAACAATGTCATATTTATCCTGCATTATCGACTTGAAGGGCATTCTCTGCATTCCACCAATATCTCAGAATATTCAACATTGGATTGATCAGGAAACATCTAGGATTCAAGTGTTTTTATTGAGTGTAGCAGGCTTTTAGTTAAAATATCGGCATTGAGATAAGTTGTTGCCAATCTCTATGGCATCATATTATTTTTACTTACCATATAGATCAGACTGATTTTCAACGGAATCTGATTTACGATAATAATTGTATTTCAGTGAATCGTTCGTATATGGTACACGCGAGTTATGCAACTGATGTGAAATTGTATTCACATTTGATTTATAACGCTTCACAGTTGATGAATTCGTTTGATCAGATTGAGGTTTCGGTTCAACAGGTAGTGGAGGAAGGAGACCTGCCCAACGTGACTGTGCACATATCATATCCCAGCTTAAATGGCTTCCGTATTTACCATTCATTAATTTAGTCACTTGGTCGGCTAAATAAAAAGAATGGAAAAATAATGTTTAAAAACACTTGCATAAGGCTACTGAAAGTTGAAAATAAATCATCTCAAAGAAATTATTTACGAATGAATTATTAAAATAATTCGAAAATCGAAAGTAACTACAGATATTTGTAAATATTATGGAGTTAGATCCAACTATTTCTTAACATACATTAATTCACTTTATACAGTTACTAAAAGGCTGGAAGTAACCAGTTACGAACATTTTTCCTTCAGTTGGAAAATAATTTCAACAGAGTTGACACTGATATAGCATATAAGTAATTACGTATAAATGAATATATGAACACAGAAGACCTTGCCATATATGACAAGTTTTCGAAATAATAGTTGATGATTAGGTCATCAAATTCAGTGGTGATTAAATTAAGCTCAAGTATCTGAAGGGAAACGGGAGTTGTCAAGGTTTACAATAAGCCTTGATGAATGAAAGTAAGCAAGAGATGAAGACCGAGAACTTCTCGGTTTGTACTCTGAACAAGCAACACGTCATATAAACGGTGACTAGCTTCGACAGTGAGTAGCTGCATTTATAATACTCACCCTTACAGTTTTCTTACATGTGTCATTCAAGCATTATTTGATAACGTTGGAAATGGAAGAATGAAACGATCACTTTGTGAAATGGTACTGATAAGATGAAACTACTCACGTTTATATTGACATGTGTTAGTACTACAACCTGATCGCGTCCTGGCTCCATCATATCGATAATGTGGAAGTCAGGTGTAGAGTTTTGGGCAGAAGAGAAACGTCAACCAATGAAGTTGTGAACCTTCACTAACTAAGGTATCTGGCATATGCTCTACACATTCCAATCACCGTCCGCTTCTTTGCGCAATGTTAGCTAAAGCAGGTTCGCGTTGGAAAAAAGTTAGAGGCGGCCAGACCAGAGCCTGACATCAGTTTATGAATTCTTTGGCTGTTGACCTGACTCGCCTGTAAAGAAATGTAGACTCCCGATGGATGAAGAATCTAGGTGATATGGCTGAGAATCGATTTCAACGGTGCAGGTATTTCCAGACATTATCCTCAACCTAATCATCGTAACGATTTTCGTTACTGTCTAGTTCTTTCTTGTTCTCTATGACTTTTTACCACTTTTGACCATTCTCTCTCTTTTTTCACCATGTTTCATCTTTGTACCCTATCTCGCGATATGAGGTATGTCAACTTCGACTGTTTTGAAGGGATGCCAGGTTGTGTTGATATTGATTAACTAGTATATATATATATATATATATATATATATATATATATATATATATATATATATATATATATATAATCTTACCTGATAATCGTGTTTCACCAGTGCATTCTTCCAAACACCGATTGAATGATTCCTCCATTTCCATTAAACGTGGTGCAAACCAATTCACTTCCTTATTTATAACCGATTCCATCTATAAAGGTGAATTAGGTAATAAATAATTAAAAATAAAAGTAAATGAATAAAACAGCTATGAAGTGTGTTCAATGGACAATAAGGAGGAAATAAAAGCCTGCATGATAGCACATATAGTCAACTAGTTAAATTAATCTTGAGTGAAAAAAATGCTCTGACAAAACAACTTAGCCAACGAAAACCCCTAGCTTCACATCATGACATAGTTTGCCTATCATTATGATCCAACAAGCTGTGCTAACCTTAACACTTCTTCCTTCAGGCGCTGTAGAACTATACAGGTTTATTGGATAGTGAGGATACAAAACTAGTTCCCACCATAGCTTACGTAGCTTACTTTATCATCGGGTTTTGAGGAAGAAGTTATTTTTTTGGCTGAACGCGATGTGACGGAAGTAAGCGTATAATTAGCATTCACTACCGATGCTACCATTCATTATGGGAAGGATGGGTTAAAACGTAAGCTGTAAAACTTCAGATTACTCCCTGTGATGCAGTTTACTGATGTACACGATATGCAGTCTACCGAGATCAAATATGACAACTGACTCAAAACCGTGTACAAACACAAAAGTAGCATGCAACCATCTTCAAGTAGCAAAAATCCACCTCCTCGCTTAGATAACTCAGTCGAAGAAATGATATGTGATTAGTCGAGAAGTAACAACCACCTGCAGGCTTTCAGTAAGCATACAAAATCCGACTAATCACTTCGACTTGTATGGAAGTAGAGAAGTCATCGTTTCAAAACCACAAAGGAATCAGCTTGATTACGGTATGTGTAGAATCTTAAGTTCCATTGTCATTCGACATCTACCTGTAGCTTGAGAACAAAAAACTCGAGGAAAACAGGTAGGTTTCGGACCTAAATGATAACGTATCAATCAAATCTACACCCTCTGGCCGATTTTCGAATGTATCTTTACCTGGCATTTTTCTTGACAGATCTTATTGTAATAAGCCATCATTAGTGAGGATAGGATGGTTTTTGCTCTTTTTGGAGTAACTGTTTGTACTCTGATCACGCGTTAGCGCGGACATGTGGATGTTTGTGTCTTACTAGTTGCTGAAAACATCCGGCAGTAAAGCCTGTGCAAGCTCGATTGGAAGATAAACGTGAAGTGCACATTTAGGAAGGACATAACAAAGCATTTTTCTGGATGTGACAGCGATCTTCGTCCTGAGGACGTCTGGGGTGATATTTACTTTGCTGTAGAAACAGCAATAGAGACAGTTTCTTATCTACATCCAAAGGTTAACGAGCGTCAGCGGATTGTCACAACATCATCCTAACTGACTTATGCGGCAAGACTTATTCCAACCGACTCTGACCACAACAAGAAGTGATAGCAACCACCTACATAAAAACTCACCAAGAGTCTCCGTAATGATCGTGAGCAGTAGTGGGTGAGGAAGAGAAAGAGGTGGAGAAAGTATCAGATAATACTTGACAATTATTTCGATTTATTGAGGATACCGGCAAGGAGGTGATAGTAGGTGAAACCATCACCGAAAACAACTGAATGCTGATAAGCTGACAGGAAAAACGGCCACAACGTTGGGCGGAACACTTTGAAGTGCAGTCCAACTGACCACAGTAACGCTTCATTTGCCAAGCATCTAGTGTGAACCTGAATGAGACCAAGATGTCAGTCTTCCAACTCTCCTTGAAGTTGAGAAGGTCGTATCAAACCTGAAACGATGCGAAGCAGTAGGATCTGACGGCCTACCATCTTAGGTTTTTGGGGATGGAGGTAAGACATTACCAAATATAGCAACGGGAGCAGTAAGTAGTGCAGGAGAATCAGAGGTATTCCCATCAGCCTGGTCTACTTCTCTGATTATTCCAGTCTATAAGAAAGGAGATAAGTTTTCGTATGAAGACAATAGGGGGATCAGTTTAACTGTGTCCATGATTCGTGATTCCATAGTCATCCAATGCGTAAATGAAGTTCAAGAACGACAAAATCGAGGAAATCAGCGAGGTTTCAGACCTAGGTGAGAATGCACCGATCAAATCTTCGCCCTCTGACCAGTTTTCCAACCATACCTGCCGGCATTCTAAACCTGTTATATTTCTTGACCTAAAGGCAGCAGTTAACTCAGTCGAAGGGTGTTTTGGCCGTGATAACTATGAAGGAAGTACCAAGCAAGTGTCTAGTTCCAATCAAGACTACCTAATTGAACTCATGTAGATATGTTAGGGCTTGTAGAAAAGTTGTCATTTGAAGTGACAACAACCAGTAGTGGCTACCATTGATGACTGCTGTCACTCTTGTTACACATGATGGGTTGACAGATTTACCCTGATTTAAGGATGTAAAATGAAGTACTGGAAAGCGTTCACTCACTTTGGGAGTTGCATTCATTCACATGAGTTAGGTTTAAAAAAATCTCTGATTGAATTCAAAAGGCTAGTTTTATAATCGGCAAGTCACATCTTTTATGGCACGATGAAGATATCTGACTAACCATGAAACTATGAGTATTCTGTGCAATAGTTCGCTCTTTTCTACTGTATGTTTACCAGATATGACTAGCGAAAGAAGAATTTATGAGGACGTTATAGATTTTTAATTTTGTGCGCTTTCATAGCATTACTCGCGTGGTGGAATTACAATGTGATCGACATAGACATCCAGTTGACCGCCATTCTATGCTATGTTCTATGATGAGATGATGCGTAGTGAAGCGTTGCAATTTGATCCACACATGATTTGTTTTTCCTGAACCCAACCAGCCAGCCTATTCCTGTCGTCATTTTGAATCCAGCACATTATTTAGTCTCTCATGGATGATGCAGTTTAACATTTTACTTAAAGTGGACAGGAGCATGATTCTGTGCCACTTCTTGCAAAGGCTTATGTCTCCCTCCTTTGCAAGTTTGACAAGGTAGCTCTTCCTCAAATCTGCAGGTACCTTTTCTCCCTTCTTTCCTTCCTTCCAAACCTTTAGCAACAGTGGTGCGAGCATATCCATTGTTGTCTCTGTGTCCGTTTTCAGTGCTTCTAGTGGTATTCCATCCAGTCCTGCTGCTTTCCCAAATTTCAGAAACTTTATGGCGTTCAGGACTTCGACTTTTGATGGAGGGCTTGCGTTCACTGGTAGTTCTGTGGCTGGGCTGCAGGTGGTATTTCTGGACGAGTTGTTGTTGTTGTTGGTGGTCGATTCAAGAGCTTTCAGAAGTGGTCAGCCCATCGTTTTTTTGTTTCTCCTCTTTGGTAACCAGGTTTCCTTCACTATCTTCCATTTGTTTCGTCTAAGCTGATCTCTTCACTCCCACAGAGTAACCTGGTTATTTGATACAATGTTGTCAAGTCTCTGTCTCTCCTACCTACAGCCTGTTCTGCCTCACTTGTCAGTGTGTCGCAGATGTGTCTTTTGTCTTTGCGCCCACTCTTCTTCACTTCTTTGTCCAGTGTAGTGAGTGTTTTATAGGTTGTACTCAGTTCCTCTTTTCGTCGTTCATTCCGGCACTTCACTGGTTCATCTTCTGCTTCACCATTTCCCTCTCCCTGCTCTATCAGCTTCCATGTGTCCGTCGAGATCTATTCCTTATCTTCTTTCTTCTTCCTTCCTAACACGGTTATGTAGGTTTCCTTGCACACCTCTTTCAAAGAGTCCCAGCGTTCTTCCCACACAGCTTTCCTCGAGGATGTTGCCTAATGTCTCGCATTTTGTTCTGATGGGTGACTGATGTGAAGATGTCCTTTGTAGTTTAGTCCTTCAGTTCACTTTCTCTTCTGAGTGTTGAACTTGAATTGTGATCTATCTATAACCAACTTCTCTCAAGGCTTTCAACTTGATTTTCAAAGTAGGTAGGTTCCTTGCACTAGATAGTGAGTGGTGTCAACTTCCTACATCTGCTCACCTTCTTCATCTCATCTTGTGTCTAGTAGACTCTGTCTCCACTTTTTCACGTTGTGAAATGAAGTCGATGTGATTTTTGGTGTGTCCTGGTGTCTGGTGAAATCAAATCCATGTCGCTGCCTTGTGAATATCCTTGTGTTTGTACACACTGACTCGCCTCCAATCACCAAATCATTGAATGCATAGAAGTTTGCAAACAGTTATCCACTCTCGTTCATCACTTCACCGAGTGCTTCTCCATCCATGATTAGTTAGTTCTCTTCCTGTGTTGTCCGCTCCTAGTTTGGCTGGCATTCATGTCACCACACCCATTAGAATTTTGATGTCGCCAACTGGAGTCTTGTCTAGTACTGATTGAGGTTGTCTGTAGAATTCCTCCTCATTCTCTTGATCTTCACTATTCGTAGGTGTGTAGCGTACGTAGTATTGAATGATTGTAACTTTTCTTCCTTTTGAGTTGAATCTTGTTGTCATGATCCTAGGTGAGATTGATTCCCACTGTATGAGAGAGAGAGAGAGAGCCTTCGATGGTGTTGGGGACATGATGATAGCCACTCGGAAACTCAGTGTGTTCGTGGTTGTCGTCTGGGTGACAATGCCGGGGAGATTATTGACTCTCTAGTTAACAGTTTGGAGAGTCCGCTTCCATTCCATCTACTCTTGCAGATTCCTTTCACTTCTATGCTATACCTCCTCATCTCTTTTGCGATCTGAGCAGCCTTGCCAGCCAGTTTTGAACATCGTGCGGACATTCCATGTCTCCAATCTCACTTTCGCTTTCGTCGAGAGAAGAGAAGACACATCGGTCGACTGGCTTCCCGAAGGTTTTCACCAACCGGCATCATTTCGTCTCTCCGATTCTAGTGAGGAATAAGTATATTTTTATTTTTTATATTTTGTTTGTGCTTTGAAGTTTCTCTAGCGATTAGCTTGGTTTTCCGGGGTAGGGTTTATAGCCATATGCCCAACGTTCCGTCTTTATCCGGGCTTAGGACCGACTAGTAATTAGTGCACTGCTTACCTAGCTACACGATAAAGCTCCTGTCTATTTCGTAGTACGTCTTTATTCAGTTATAGTCCACTGGTCGTCTGGTATTCGTAAAAACTGTTCTTTAAAGCAATCAAAAT